AACTAAACTTGGCAAAATTGATACAAGTCGATGTTAATAGTAGAAAAAAGTACTCTCAAAATTTATCACCCAAATATGACTTTCACCCTGCTTGAAATCCGAAAGAATGATAATTCTTGGCAGGAAATTTAAAATACGCCAGCGCAAAGGATTCAAAGTCGAATAATCTTAAAATCGATCGTCGATATTTCAATTCCACCCGTGACGTTCACCCTAGTAAAGTTGAAACTATCGTTATTTTGCAATTCGAAAATGTCAATGGATGGACGATGGATCGATCGCTCGGTCCTCGAGGGTCGCCGCGTTTAAAAACACCGGTAGCCGCAGAGCGATAGCAACAGAATTAATTTGTATGTCACGAGGTTGCGATCGCGCGACATTCTGATGTTTGTTATGCCGGTTGAAGCTCTCACGTGGCGGTGCAAATGATTTTAAATAGGCTTGGCCAAGAGTTCGCCCGAAATAGCGACAATCAGTCGATGACACTGCGCGTTGCTCTCTGATGACGGCTCGGTTCGACACCGTTCATCAGCCAACTCATCCCGGTGGATCGTCATCGATCGATGACGAGGAGACCGCGTGCCTTACGATCGACGAGCAGCGCCGCTTTCATTCAACAGTGCTAGCTTCTTCCTCTGTCCGCCGCTTGCACTTTGAAACTGAATTCGATGTCGTGAAATCGAGAGTTGAGTTTTCAACGATTAAAGTTCGTACGCAATCGTTAAATCATACGGCTTGGTAAATTTTATACGAGGAAACAAATACCTGTTAGATTCTGTAACAAACGCCGTACTTTGGCTACTTTTGTAATTCAAATTTTATATTAAGCGCGCAAACATCGATAAGCATGATCTTTATCGGTAAATAAAATTGGATTTTAATTTTCGTTAATGAGAGTGCAATTAAGAGGGTCAAATTACTAATAGTTAATAGTCGAGTTGATTAGTCGGTTAATTTAGTCGGTATTTAATCGTGGTGATCGTAAATCCCATTTACGCGTTCACGTATGCACGTACACAATGCTTTTGCCCGTGCGCATCAGCCATTTAAAGGATAATGAACAATGAACACTGACACGATTGCGTCGTGTTTACAAAAATTGTGAAACGGTGAAAGTTGTGATCGACTAAACACGTTCAGATAACTTTGAACATCGTTCGATAGACTGCAAAGACTTTAATCATCGATGAATCATATGAAATCATGGAATTGATTCAATGGAAGTTTCAATGGAAAAATTTGCAATAAACAGTCTTGTGTCGACGATTGTAATCAACGTGAAGCGTGATATTAATAAAAATACACCGGATAGACATCATAACGCGTTTTTGATATTGCAAAGTTACTGTTCACTGTTACACGAAATTAACGATAAAACGGTTCATTTACGATCATCTAGCGGTTTCTTATGTTCATTAGAAAAGCTTTTAAGCGGTGGATTCGCGTTGTTTTCTATACTCTCGAGCATTTAAGTATTCCGTACAATCATCGTTTAATGGTGGCTTTATCACATCCGTCAAGCCCCTTCCGTTTTTTTTTTTTTTTTTTTTTGCGATCGATAATAACGCGTCTATTAACTTTCATATATAAACCCGTTCTGCCTCTCATAATCGTAAACCACCTTTCATTATTTCGAAAGCACAATTCGTGACGCATAATGATTTATTGAATTCATATAAATGTCGACACTGCGGTTCGATTAGCTATCGACACTTTGTTCGAAACTAAAATAAATCAAGTATCGATCCTCAGTTGAGAAAAATTGACTGTTGCACAATTTCCAAATATAATTGTAAGTTTTCTATGCTAAAACACCACAAGTGTCCTGCGAGAGGTTGATCAATCCTCCCTAGACAAGGCGAAACATTTCAAAGTAGTTTTTACAATCTCTGTCATCATCTATATACATAAACTTACTAGCCCATGCATAATCGCGATGTAAATGAAAATGAACATCGTAGAATTAAAAAATTTCTTTAAGTTGTTTTTCTTTGAAATTTAATCGTATAGAGGCCTGTCTGTCAAAATTCTTGTTCAGCACACAATACACTAAAGTACAGAGCTCGTCTATCAGAGAAATTGAAGAACAAAAAGAAATTTATAATACAATAAAAAAAAAACACGAGCTTTTATTTAAAAAATTATGTAAATTCGTAAAATTTCTATGAAAAATTAACCGCTCGAGTAGCTCTGGTGGTTTACATGTCGCAAACTATCTGCCGAAAATAGAAGATATTCTTGAAATTCCACGTTTTTGTCTTCATCTTCGTAACGTGCGTAATCTGACAAGCCTTTCGCGTATCCTCGACTTTAAACGCTTGCGATCTCACGGAACAATCAAGGCAATTGTGAAGCAAAACGAGAAGCAGTCGTTCAGCCTACGTGCATTCCGTCGTCTGACAAGGTTACGCATTTTTCCCCCTTCGCGGCCATCTTCTTCGGATTCAGGAGGCGCGGATTGTCCTCGAGGAGCGCGGAAGTGGACGTTTAGGCGCGTGAACATTCGATTTCACCGATGGATAAGGAACGTTTCGAAACGTGCGCACGAGTACAGATAAGACTGGCAGACACTTCGGCGTCCCGACGAGAAACGCTAACGTAAATCCTAAAGATAGAGCAGTACGCGTTGCCCCTCTCGCGATTTTCTTCTTGGCCGGTCTTTTATCAGATTCCGTCACGTTGCAATCGCAGCGTTGATTCGTAATCAAAGTTCATCCAGACAAACATCGGTAATCGAGATGTTTCCTGAGGAGAAATTTAAGTATTGTATTTTAAGTATTGTTGCGGGATATATTTTCTATTAAAACGGTGGAATTGTTACAAGATTTTTCTTTATTTTGAAAAGATGCGGAAAGAACGAAGTTTTTAAAGAACCATTGCAATTATTCATTAAATGTAGCTTAACGCTTTATCTTATGTGTTCTCTTTCTATTCTTCAATTTATAGTAATTACTATTACAATTATAATCAAAGGTGATCTCAAATAATTATTACTCATAGTAGAAATATATTTTGCTTTTTGACTCGTGTTAATAATAGAAAAATCTATATATTTTCAAATATCAAAACAGATTACTACACGTCATACATATATACCCACAAAGATTTGCGAATATAAGAGAGAACAAATCTTGCAGATCCTCTAAATAAATATAGACCTTACGATTCTTGTATCCCTCTCTCTCTCTCTCTCTCTCTCTCTTTGTTTGTCTTATTCTTATGTCATCACCTCTCCATGGAATCTTTTCAATCCTGCCTGCCATCTTTTTTCTCAAGAAATCACTTCAAACCTCGGAGTCTCAGCTTCGATATTTTATTTTTCACAAGGAACGTATCAATTGGATCGTACGATTTGCGAAGCCCTCGTCTTCCGACTGACTGTCGATGTTTTTCTCGCGGAACCCTAAAAAAATTCCCGGCTGCATTCGTCGATAAATCAGTCGGCGATTTTCCGCTCGAAGAAAAAAAAAAAGAAGAAAAAATAAAATCTCGGGCGAATTGGGCTAGCTCTGATTTACGATCGCCGTACAGGCAGCTCGAGGTGTGGTCCGCTACTTGCATTAGAGAATGAGTTCTCGAAATAGTTCCGGACGCGGAGTACGTCCCTAGGAATATTAGGCAATGCCCTCATAGCGATTTTTATCGTCCTACGTCAGTGGCGCGCGCGTACCTATAAAAGAAATGTCCCACATGTCTTTGCCTACGTGAAGCGTTAGGTAACTTCCCTTTCCTGACTTTCAACTTTTCTTTCTCGTTCGTGAGCTTTGTAACCTCGTTCATCGCAGGTATCTAGACGTTGTCTCGGTGATCTCAACTTTTTGAATTTCCCTCATACATATATACACGGCAGAACTACGTGAAAGCTACGAGCCAAGAGATAAGAATGAAAATATCTCTCATCTTGTGCTTGGCTTTTACGCAGGGAAAATGTGCGTTGGACAGGTATTTTTTTTTTCGTCGAGTTACAGACTGGTATATGTATATACTCGTAACGTATCGAGACAAAAATTCGCGGCAGAGTTGCTTGAACCGACGAATTTAGAAATTGCACGTTCGCCAGGAATTTTGTTATAGCGTTTGGCAAACAGAATCGATATTCTCGACAGGCTCTCGCGCGATTTACTGGCCGCTGTTTGCTGTTACCTTCGCTTTCTTTCCTGTTCCAGTCTCGATCGCCTCTACATCCTTTCATTTTTATCGTTCTTCGATGCACAACGTGTCTAAAACTCGTAGCATTCAAAGCTACGCATTTCAACCGTGCTTTCAAATATTCTTCGCGAGACTTCGCTCGAAAAACCAAAATCGCTGTCATCTTTCGCTCCAAGCTTCGTTCCTTTCTCCAACTTTCATCCCATCACATTTTGTCCCCTGAAAATGCATTATTCAGACGAAAGCTCGTTGGCGTGTCGATTCGTTTTTGACGTCTTTGAAACACGATCGTCAAACTGTGCGAAAAGATGTTACGAAAGCGGGCGTCGCGTCGCGAAAATCATTATAAACAAATCATTAAGGCGGGGACTATCGTACTATGAGGTACGCGGGAGTCTGTGCACGTAGACGTGGCTCGCCAGAAAGCGGCGTCGGTATTTGGCAAACGATGACAACGACGCGGACACCACCTCCGGTTCGTCTGCGGTCCCAGGTATCCTAGACCGCAGCCTCTGCCTCCTTCCTCCATCCTCCTCTCCGTCCGTTCGTTTCGTTCGTCTTTCTTCAACTCTCCTCACCGTTTCTCACCTCATCTTCTCCGTCATCGTCGTCATTATCCTCCTCTGCCACCATTTTGCTTTTGTTTCTTTCGTCCGTTCGTTTCGTCCTTCCTCTTTCGTCTTCGTCTCTTTCTCTTCGTTATCCTTCTCTTTTTTCTCGTATCTTTTTCGTATTTCTCGCTCTTCATCATCTTCGACATCATCATCCTCCTCCTTTTCTCTGATTTTCTTTCTTCATTTCTTCATTTCTTTGTTTTTATTCTTCTTGTCTCCTTCTTCGTCTGTCTCTTTCTCGCTTCTGTCCATCCTTCTCCATCTCTGCGTTTCCTTTTCTTCGTCTTTTTCATCGTCGTCTCTATCCTCTTCGTCATCGTCGTCATCGTTCTCTCCTGCCACTGCCTTATTCCTCGTTTGCGTCCTATTTCAACCGTCTATTTATCTCGTCCGTCTTTCTCCATTTCTACCGTTCCCCCTTCATCATCATCTCCTCGTCATCGTCGTCATCGTCCTCTTCGCCCTCTTCTTCCACTATTGCCCCGACTCGTCGCTCGCGGTCTCGACCGTCTCTCCCTCTCTCTCTCTCTCTTTCTCTCTCTCTCTCTCTCTCTCTCTCTCTCGTATCTGCCTCTCTCCGTCCGTCTGTCTCCCCTTTTCCGTCTCTCGCTTCACTCGCTTCTCTCTTCTCGCGTAAGAGAGGCACGAGAGGAGAGAAGGGGCAAAGACGCTTTTAGACACGGAGCGTCCACGAGCGTCGCGACGCCTTGAGAAGCAGTAGTCGCGTACCTTAGGCAGCTTCCACCTTGCCGGCTCGCGGCTGTACGTAACGTGATTCTCCTCGAGGTCTCTGCTCGACGCAGCATCCGGCTGTCGCGGACGCGTTCCATCGCGTCACGTTCGTTTCGCCTCGCCTCTGGATGTCACTCCGACTCCTGGAACATTACTACGAGAACAATCAGTGGTTCTCAGTTGGAGAACGCGTGCACCGTTCTCTTATATCCAGCACAGCTTCGAGATCTCGTCGAGTCTCTTCCGGTCAGGACGTCGAGGATCGTTTCGCATTGTCAAGGAATCATCGGAGGATCGTACAGTTGGTTCTCGCCTTGGGTTCTCGTTTCAACGAGGTTCACGCGAGAGAGTCTCTGTGATTATCTGCCTCGCCGCGATCTCGCGCGATCGATGGTGCTCGGGAGGATCGATTTCGAGGAGAGGGACAGCGTGTCGTTCGCGGGCACGAAGGAGAGGCCGCGTAGCAAGAAGGCCGAGTGGTTAGCTGAATTTCGGGGATCCGCGAAGTCTAAATTAATCTGGAGCCCGTTGTTGTTGAAACTGTGAGCCTGCTGCTGGCTGGCGTAAAAAGAGCGTAAAGTTTCGCACGCCGAATAAAAATAAGCGTGATACGGGGAACCAAGAGAGCTGGATCTGCCTCTGCTCCGCGCAGGTTTACGCGTGTGCCGCGCCGCAGGAACAAACTGGTGATTTCCTGCTCGACGAAACAAGTGGCCGTTCAACGCGCCAGAAGAACAGTCTTCGACAACGTTCCATTCGTCGCGATCCTCCTTCCAAAATAGAGAAAAACGGGGACGAAAACCTCTCGTTCTGCTCTCGCCGCGACGTATCATTCCGTTTGACGTATCCTCCAGCTTGCCTCAAGTACAAACATACCTCCGATCCACCACTCCGAATTCTCGAACGAGCGTCGTTCTTCTCGAAACTACGTCGTTACATCCGATCCAGCCAGAAAGCTCGACAGTGTGAAAGCTCAGGTTCCTCGGCTGTGACAGATCCGACAACGTGTACAAAAGTGCCAAAGTGCAAAAGGTCCCGGTCCATTCCATTCGTCGCACTCGTTCACGAGATCCTCCAAGTGTTAGTTTCCCGGCTTCGTTTCTTCGAATGTGTTATCCTGGTGGCGGGCGTCTCGTGTGACGTGAGCGGCGAGTGAATCGCCACGCGTCTCCCTCCGGCAATGACATAGCGGTGGCTGTTGGAGCAAATGGTCGGCTGCTCGGCTGCTCGTCGGTGGGTGATCGTGTCCAACGAGTAAAAATAATTCCGCGAAAGTGGTTCGCGTGGCGAGGAAGGAAAAGGACGCGACGATGGCGGAGCGTCCTGGGGGTAGGAGACGTTCGCGTCGGGACAGTATGGAGACGGGCGGCTCGTTACGAGGCACGCCGCCGACCTCCAAGGATCGAAGGACCAAACGATCGAGCAAACCGTCGAAGGAACGATGGCTGCTCACGAGGAAAACGTGGCGTTACATGGCCGACGCCGGCAGACGTTTGATACCGGATGGAACGCACAACAGGCCGGAGGATATCCCAAAGATAGAGCAATACTTTCAGGAAGTATGCCAGAAGGAACCGAGGTTTCTGCTTTGGAGGAAAGCGTCGTACCCAGGGACGTTGGCCTTCCGATCGCAGGCCAGGCGTCGAAGGCAGATAAAAGGTGGCAGTTGCAGAACGAAGGCAAGTTCTGCCGACGAGGCTGACGATGTCAGAAACCAGCCACAGGGTTCTTTCGTTATTCAGACCACCACGGCGGGGAAGTTTGACCTAGCGAAAGCCAAGAGAGAGTGGTTGATGGCGTCGGAAGGAGGCAGCATTCCCTCGAGTCCTGTGGAGCATAGGAAATTCATGCAGGAAGACTCCGAGATTAAAGCGCTGGCCGACATGTTGCAGAAGTACCTGAACATGCAGAGCGACGTCGCTGGCACGACGAAATCGGCGGAAAGATCGGGGCCGCTCGCTCTGATGGATGGAAAGGAACCTTTCGACTATCAAAATTTGATAAGCAAGCTTCAACATCATCTGGATTTAATGCTCGCCCAGGCCAAACTGGAGGAACTGTCCGTTCAACGAGCTCTGACGACGGAGAAGGACGCGGAGAAGATTTCCAAGTCCATGCAGCCGTATCAGGGCGACTACGTGCACAAATCGCTGATGGAAACTATTGGTCGTTATTACAGTAGGTCCGGCACTCGGGAACACGTGATCTCGGCTATTCTAACGGACCGAAAGCTATTGGAGAAGCTGTACTTCGACTTGAGGTGCACCAGGGGTTTCCGAGGGCCACGTGCCACCGGCGCCTACACGTCACCATCCTCCCGCTGGTGGTCTCACCAACGAACCAGGATACCGTCAAAGGAATCCGAGGATTGGCTTTCCGTCAGAAGAGATCCTATCTCCCCGCCGCCTCTTATAGCTGTCCAAGAGCCCAGTACCGATCGTAGTCCCACGGACAACGGTGTGCAAACGGATCCTGTCCCACGCGAGGTTCTCGACGCTATTCTCTTGGAAAAGGAGAAGGAGGAATTATCGGCGAAAGAAGTGCACAAGCCTACTCGCAGGCGAAGCAGCGTGGACAACGACGACGTTTCACCGTCCGTCAGCGACACGATCAAAAGGTACCTTCGAATGGCTAGAAAGAAATCGATGGACGCCGACAAGGTGGACAGATTCAAACGGGTGAACTACGACAGAAATTTGAGGAACATCAAGGCGAAGGGGGAGACGACCAGCCTCGGCGAGGACGATGGCAATAACAAGGGCTGCCAGACCGAGGACAACTGGGCTGTTAATTACAGAGAGATGTCCTCGACGGAGAATCCGTCGGAAAATTTGTCAGACGCTGAAACGACCACTTCACCACCGAGTAGAAACGCGAGCTCGAGGAGCAGCATCGACGCTGGCCTTGGTTCGGAAGAGCCACTGACCCCCAAACACCATCATCAATCCTTCCTCTCCCATCTCCTGCACGGTTCCAACGCGCACAAGGATAAACCGCATTCGGCACCCGGTTCACCGGCACTTACGTCATCGTCCGCCAATTCCGCAGGTGGCACAGCGATGCAGAAGAGCAAGTCCTCGAGCAGCGTGGTGCATCACGGCAGCCGATTGGTCGCCAAGAAGATATGGAGGTCCAGGAGCAAGAGCACCTCGAGGGCATCCAATCAACCCTCCGTCTGGACGCCGCAGGTGAGATTTTTTTTCTTATTTTAAAAAAATTTCCTTCCTTTCGCGCGTTTTGCGGAGAATCGTGTTGTTGAATTTGTTAATCTGAAATTTTCTGCAATTAAGGAAGATTCGGTCGTTGTGAATGATAACAAAGTCATTGCGCGTGAGAGATCGACACTAATAAGTTTATTGAAAAATTCAGCACACGTTCGTTTAACGAGTTCATTTGCGTCGTAATTGTCAGGGCAAAGTTGAGTTATCAAAGAACGACCGAATAATACGAATGGACATTCTCCAGAACGTAGGACTTTCCGACGCGATTTATTTGTACGTTGCAAACGGAGCATAAACGAATCTCGCTCTCTATATATAGAGTTTTGTCTTGCCAAAACATGTCTACGAATATAATTCGCTTTAAACCACCTGTCGCCGCATAGCGAGGAGGTGTCCACCTCGTTATAAGAAAGAAAACGAATTAACGACGTCGCTATTAACATCTGCGCCACGAAAATAGAGCGTTACTATTAATAACAATACCCGCCTGCCTAGCTTTCTTAATAGCATTTGTAAATTAATTTTACTTGCTACCGAGTCGAAGGCAACATTTCCGGCAAGTTCACCCGGAAAATATTCCAAGCTTCTCCTCTCGTCTTGTTCTTGTTTTATCGATCACGCTTGCCGGGAAAGAATTCCGCAACGAAGAATTCCAAGACTGGACAGTTCTCCTTTTTTTTTTTCTTTGTCTGTCGCAATTTCAGTATTTCTGGAATTTGTACCGTTTTTCGCACCGCACTCTCGGCTTTTAATTTCTTTTGTATCGGTTTTTCTTTTTTTTGTATCGGATGGTAAAATAATTATATTAAAACGCGGCAGATTTCCATTGAATTTCAACTTTCTTCGTTCAATTTCCGTGGATACTTCAAATTTCTAATCCTTTTATTTCCATTGATCTCAGCTCACGTATTGGCGTCTGTTACCAATTTTCATTGACCTTCCAGCTGATACGTATTACAGTCTAATTTTCTACATATTAAATTCCCCTTCCTACAATTTCATTTCTTCCCTCTTAATATTCTGTCGCAACATCTATCTCCCCTTTTATCTCCCCTCTGTTTCTTTTTCTCCTTCTTCTCTCGTTTTCTCACCACTAATTTCCACATATACTACATTTCGTTTTCAGTTTTCATTTTTTTTTTTTCAGTCTTCTTCGGTGACTCATCTCTCTCTTCTCCAATTTACGCGAATTAAAATTTCCTTCCTGCTGATTTCACTTCGTCTTACAATAATTCTTTCAATTTTCTTGTTCGTAATTCATCTCTCTCTCTCTCTCAAAATGTTCCTCCTACGTGTTTCTTTTAATCTTCGTTTATCCTAATCCCTCTCCACGCCACATTACACATCACAATCTCCTACCTTTATTCTATTAATTTAATTCTACTTTTCCTCAGCTTTCGCTCGTCACAAACATTCACAAGCAAGAATCCTTCCTTGTCCAGAGTCTCTGCGCGTCTGTTTGCTCCCCTCCAGCTTGCACGCACCTTAACCTCCTTTCTCGTCATTTCTTCATCCTCGGCTGCTTCACCTCTCTTGGCCACGGCGCTTCTTCCACGATCTTAGCTTCGACGGCTCGTCTATTTTTCTTTTACCGGCCGACCCGGGCGGCGTTTTAATATCCCCGCGGTGTGACCGAGTATTCGGCGGATGTGAAAGAGGAAAAAGAGGAGGCGTAAGAAGAAGAAGAGGAAGGTCGACCTTGCGGCAGGCGATCTCGTTAAGCGGTAAGCGCGATAACCAATTTAGGGCCTCGGAATTTCGCCGGCGCCGCCAGAAATAGTCAGCCAACGGTGGTGTGTATAAACTATACTTAACCCCTGCTACTACTACTACGTGTCTGCTAACCAAACCAACTTATGCGCCGACACTACTCTGCCGATCATTCTACTCCACGCCTGCAGTCTCGACTGATACTGACTTTTATCAATATTCATTTTGACACCAGGCTGTTTAAATGCTAGAGATTATTATTGCTCTTATCGTGTAAACGTATTTGTTTGGGGCAGTGTTCTTCTGAATTTTTTTTTTTTTAAATATATTCTTGTTGGCTGGAAACGTCGGCTGTATGCGTGTAAACTTTTACAAATTGCTCTACTGAATTCTAAGAAACCGTTGTTAAAAGGAAGCAATATTTTTTATTTTATTTTAGTTAGTCTGCTTTATTATTGTAGCTGCAGCTCATTTTATTTCCAGTATTTTATAAAGTATTTTAGTTTCTAAATTTGTGTGAAACACTATCTTTCGGAAAGGCATTATTTTTGTACGTATAAAAGACGGTGAATCTAAAATTTGCTGCGTTGTGCAAACGTATTATATTGCGAAGGTGTACCTTAAGGAATTTATGCAAGAAGCGATACATTAAACGAATAATAGTGAAGTTTAACATGACGAAGATACTTGAACAAATGTATACTCCTACTCAAAAGTCTGGAGCATCCTCTATTTTTTTTTTTTTTTTTTTTTTTTTTTTTGAACGAAACGAACATTTCCTGGTACATTTGTCTGAGAAACAAGAGCGTTGCAGTTATAATTTTTATTTCTAAATATAATCAGTTAAAATTTCAGTGCCGTAGAGAATATAACGTCACGCGTTTATTTATTTATTTATCTGAAAAGGTTTCTGTTTCTTTTAACGCGCTCTAAATTTTTGAACGAGCGCGTATAAAATAGCGTTATCTACGACGCGTTGGTAAAAGTAGGCTTGGTAAAAGTTCCGGGAAAAGTTGCGAAAGACAAATCGTGTAAAAGTGTTTCTTCCCCCCTTCTTTTTTTTTCTTTTTTCTACTTTTTTCTGTACTACTTTCTGTTTTTTTTTCTTTTTTCTGTTCGTGTATATTTCTCTCGCTCGACGAGATTAGAGAGGAGCCTCGATCGACGCGTTTCGACCATTTTGTAACGTTCTGTTACAAACATCGGCGAAAGAAAGTTTTAAAAATAAAAAGGGAACGGTCTTTTCCATGAGAAATAAACGGATTACGACGTTTCGCGATTCATTAACGTTGAAAACGGTGAAAAGCGACGAGCACTCGAGCCGTGTACATTGACAGAACGCTTAGTCGGCGAAGGTAAATTCTTTTTATAAAATCGTTCTCCCTGCACTGGTCAGACTTTCAGAGTTTTTGAATTGTAACAAGAATTTCGACCAAACCAGCTGTTTTCGCTCGAAACTTTCTTTTTTTTCTCTTGTCGCCGAGGTTGTTCGATGAAACATTTTCTACTCGATGATTAAAAGTGTAAAATTCCCAGATTGTTCGAAGAAACATTATTTTTGGATTTTCCTTTTTAGTTCAAAACCTTAATTAATTAAAAAACAAAAAGAGAAGAGAGAATTTCTTTGAAGAAAATTGATTTTTGATAATGGAATTTTTCTTCATTGGAAATTTATTCTTGATAGTTTCGTAAGATGTATTTTTTTTGTTTGTATCCAGTTTTCGATTCTTTCCTCCCTAAGAAAGAAACGAGCTAGGCAATCCACTTTTATTCTTTACGAATTCTTTTCCAAGAAATTTCACTTTGATGCATCTGACGTAATTTCGTTTCCATTCAAGCGTCTTTCTTTTAAACTTTTACTCTTGTTTCCCTTCACTTTCGTCTCCTTCCTTTAAACACTTGGAAAATTAAAGAGAGAAGGTACTCGAAACGTTGAATCTCTTAATGACGGGCAATTAATGGAATAAGAATCCAATGAAGATACAGGAAACGGCTCTTGATAGATGAAACTTGTTTCCAAGATTGATTAGGTGTTTGAGAGCAGTGAACATTTATTTCATTTAATTTTCAAACGGTTCATCGTTGAAAGATCGTCTTCGTTTTGATCAAGTTTCAACGAGTTAAAAGAAGAATCACGTTCCCCGTATTTTACAATTTAAAATTATCTTATCTTTCAACTATTAAATCTGAAAAATTCTACATGCCCGCGTTTCGTTAGTTTTTATTTCGTTATATTTCTTTTTACGCACAGAAACGTAGGCGTGAAAAAGTAAAAAGATCAAAGAACAATCCACCTGGACTCATTTTAAACCACGAAATCTCTACTTTTGCAAATTTTTTTTACCGAATCTTTTTTTCCAAAAAATTTTTTCACATCATTTTCAATTAACATAGTCAGGAAAGTTTTTGCAAATTCAGACGTCCTTACGAACACAGAGATATCTTTTTCGTAATTAAATCTATCGTGGTCTTGAAAATGGAAGTCTTGGCCTTGAAGACATTTTGGTGTACGATTTTTTCCCCCACAAAGTTACGAGAGTTCAAAATGTCGACATTTCTCATCAGTTTCGCGAGTACTTTCTACATTCACTGCATCTTGCCGTTTCATAGTCACGATGACAAGAAAGTAACGCGATGGGACGTTTAATAGATCACGTTGTGGAACCGCGTTTTGGCAGTGATCTTTTGCGAACGTATCCGTGTCTCACCTTCGTCTCCTTTATTCGTTCGTTGGTTGGTCCTCCTTTTATTGTGTATCGCAACGTCATCGAATATCTTTAACATCGAATCGCTTTTTAATGTTGGATTTGATACATTCGTGTAAACATTCGAAAGTGAAGAAATGACAGAACGATGAATGATGAATTATAGAAAGTATTCCAAAGTAACAATGTTTAATAATATTTAATATTTAGCAAATTTTTATAATGTTTAGCAAACGAAACAAATCTTTGCTCGTTATTGACAAATATTCACAAATTCTTTTTAAAATATCAATCAATATTCTTTGGAATAAAGTAGAACAGATTTTTTTTTTCATTAAAGATAGAAGAGAAATATTGTAAAAAGCACTGTACTTTCGATATTTTGTGTATTTTTTTTTTTTTTGTATTATAACTACTATCTGCAATTTTGCAATTTTCGGAAATTTGCTGAAAATTGAAAACTCGAAGGTGTCAGTCGTTTTACGTTATTGTATTTTCAAGAATTTTCCATTTTAAGTTCATTATTTTTCACGTAAGTTGAGACAGCATTGTCGAACAGCAGAGTTAGAAGACGTACGACGATAGATCGCTCTCGTGCGTTTTTTCTGAAATCGTTAAACCACAGTACCGTGCGATTATAAATTATTGGACATCGTTGTCCTCGGGCGAGTGAAATCGGTCGATGATATATGAACTCGAAATTGACGAGGAGTGAATTCATTATACCGGAGGTAACGAGCAACCTTCGTGAATGTACAAATACATTGCATCTGTGCCATATAAATTGCATTTTTTCACATCACTGAATTATTTATAGTAATTAACACGTAATCAATTGGAGATTACACATTTTGCTCGGTTGAATTAATTATCGTTACTTTACTTGGAATAAATTATTAATAAAATAGAGAGTTTCAGTGTCGAAGAAAAATAATTCTTAAAAATTGATAAGGACTGGAAGTAAAAGTGTTTAGAGAAATTGTTATTCTGTGTAGCTTGTGAATTTTTATGAAGACCCCATTTTCACCGTCACTTCGTTACAGCTTATTTTCCTCGATCATATATTCAATATTCTGTGTAATATTGTAACGAAAAGGACGGAATTTTATATTGCAAAAATTTCTCCTCGTGGTTTTTCATAAGAATCAAAATTCAAAGTTGACTGGGATATAAAATTCTTTCGTGTAGAACGTAGTGAACTCCATTAATTTAATTTCTTTTGATGCCGTATTAATTAAGAGGTTTATCGTAAGAACGAAAATTATATTTAAAGAAATTAGTCCGTCTAGGTGACAGGAAATTTAATAATTTTCAATCCTCTATTGAACAAGATTCGTTAAACGAGAAACAGAAAACTTTGACAGAGGATATTACGTACAGTACTTTCTTTCGTCGTAACTTTTAATCACAGTTATTCTCGGTTTCTTTCCGCCTTTTCTCCATTCAGCGAAACATTACCACGGTTTTATAAATTGCGATATCCTTCTCTTCTGTTCCCCGCGCGTGTCAGAAAATAATTATTTAACTCGATTCAAAGAGAAGCGGAAATTCCAGAAAAATTTCACTCCAACGCGAAATTCTACATTTCTGAAAATCTCAAAGGGCAGCGTTCATTTCAAAGAGGCACGTGTCTAACAAAAGGCGTAAATTCCGAAGTTATTTATTTGAAAAGATTTTTATTTTATAAAACGCGAGTTTTATTTAATTCCATAACAGTCTAGTTTTCCGTAATAATCGAACATAGTACGTTTAACGTCATTTTACGGAGCGAAATAATTCGTATCATGTTTTTATTACTTTCGCGAACATTTTCCTCCGTTTTCATTACAGCAGGGAATATCATTCGACGTATAATTGGCAATATTTAATATATCCGATATTACAGTTTCAAATTTCAGATAAAAATTTTCATTCTTTCAGTCGTCATTTCGATTTATCTCACTTTGAAAGATTAAAAAATTCTACGGGAGAATTGTTTAGACGTATGATCGTTGCATCGGATATATAATTAAGAAGTTTGGAAACTTGGAACTTTACATCGTTGATTTCCGCAGTGGTTTGCGTACGTGTTGCAAACGATTATGCAAAATTTAACAACAACTGCAATTTGTCATACGCGATTGCCGCGACGTAATTGTTTTGCGACGATTAATATCCTGAACGGCCTGACGTTTTGTCAACGTAAATCTACGCTGTCGCGTGGAAAAATGGGCACTTGGAATGTCTAACTTTAATTGCAGGGAAAGTGTACATGGGCGGGCACCAGTGGAAGACGTGTCACCCTGCAAGATACTTCGTTGAGGTCACTGTCGGAAATTGAGAGGAAAGTGCTGTGCAAGGTGGCTGTCGCGAAACTCCAGGCCCTCAACTTGGGTGTTCACATCAGGCCGCCGAGTGGTAAGTATTTCAATCTCAAAAATCTAGAGTTCGCGAGTCTTGGAACTTGAGGATTTGGAAATATCGAGGCCTGAATGTTTCGAAATCCAAACATTTGAGAATATTTGGAAATCTGGAAATTCGCTGGTTAAAAATTTGAAAGTTTCGATATTTGAGCGATTGGAAATTGCATGGTTCGAATATTTGTATAATTAAAAATTTTGTAGTTTAGACACTTATATATTGGGAAATTTGGAAATTTGGAAATTTGAATATTTGGAAATGTGGAAATTTGGAAGTCTGGCCGTTTAAATAGTAGGAAATTTGAAAGTTTCGATATTTGAGCGATTGAAAATTGCAAAGATTAAATATTTGTATATTTAAAGATTTTGTAATTTAGATACTTATGTGTTCTGAGATTTGGAGCGTTTAAATATTAGAAAATTTGAAAGTTTCAATATTTGAGTGATAGAAAATTGCAAAGTTTCAATATTTGTATATTTAAGAATTTTGTAGTTTAGATACCTATATATTCAGAAATTTGGAAGTTTGAATATTTGGAAATTTGAAAGTTTGAGCATTTAAATATTAGAAAATTTGAAAGTTTCGATATTTGAGTAATTGAAAATTGCAAAGTTTCAATATTTGTTCGATATTTGTAGATTTTAATGTTTGAATATCTATAAATTCGGGAATTCGATTGTTCGATTATTTTAATATTTGAAAACTTGGGGATTTAGATGTTTCGTAAGGCCTAAATATTTCAGCGTCTCGATATTGACGATATTTTATTTGGAAATTTAACACGCTCAGGAATTTGAAAATTGGAAAGTCCGGGAATTCGAACATTTGTTATTCGAAGCGTACAGATACAAGATTACCCTGCTCCTCGAGTTTAAAACAAGATCGCGATTGTTTTTCCTCAGTTTCGTAATATCGCGATAAAAAAGAAAGCAAAGGAATCACGTGGGAGCTCGAATGATTAGTGTTATTTTTTTCATTTCTTTTTTTTTTCTCTTTCTCGAGAAAATTGGTATCTTAACTCAGTGTTGGAACGGAATCTCGGCTGCCTTCTAAGTGATTGACATGTTTACGAACATAGAGTGTAACTTCAACGTCAAAGTATCCTCTTTCTCAAGGAATCACGTGTACACTCACTCTAAATTTACCCGATATCGTTTATGATGCTCTTAAGGAATCTTTAACAACTTTTTATTACTAGTTTGCCGTGGATTGCTCGTATGTGCATACATACTCGTGTATACTTACAGAATAGAGTATACTCTGTCGTTTAATACATCAAACAGATACAGAATACTCATCGTGATTGTTAAGTTGATGAGCTATTGTATCGAAAATATAACACGTAGTGTTATTTAAAATTTAATATTTATAATATTCGAAGTCTTAATACTAACAGCGTAGAGTTCTATTTAAACGAAATTATTTCGAAATTCTTAAGTTTTTAAGCTATTGTTTCGCATAAATTACGTTCAAATTATTAAAAAATTTCTGACATTTGATCTTGCATTGAGTAAAATTTGGTAGACTGAAAGAAAGTTGCTTTTAATTACCTCTTTTTTACATGAAAAGAACTTTAAAGATTTGTCAAGCAACGTTGATAATTTTATATTATTGTTCTATATTATATTATTTTTTTACTGTCATATTATATTATTTTATTTATATTATTTTATGTTATTATATTAGCAAGACACGAGTATTCGTTGTTAAAAATTTTATTAATTACCCAGAGACGAAATGAAATGTATGGCACAAGAAAAAAGTCGTTCAAGAGATACTCTGCTGCACTTGTTTCGCAATATGGTAAACTAATTTTTTTTTTTGCGGCACGCACTCCGGTGTGGTCATTGACATTACTCAACAATCAAGAAGGGATCGCGTTTCATCGAGTTCCATTTCCTCGTGTCCGTTCTACGTTTCTTTGTTCTACTTCCGTATTCAGGCGGAAGTGAATCAACGAAGCTACACAACACGCAGGGGCTATAAGAGTTTCTCCTTTGTACTTACGCTTACATGAAAATTCAATGTTTTAACAATGGAGGGAACATTTTCTTTTCTTTTTTTTTTTTTTTATCGTTGTTTCATTCTTCATTTCCCTTTTCTTCTTCAGAGTCACTTGGCAGCAGTTCCGTGGTCACGAAGCCCAAAAGGAGAGCACCTTTGCTCAAGAGGAAAGCTCTCACCACGGGTTTCTTCGACAATAAAGGAAAAGAGGATAAGGAGAAAGGTAAGTGGCGGACTTAAAAATTTGCTGACCCGTTGAAGATATAACAAATTTATCACGTTTATAAATATTTTCATAAATACTTTAACTTCTTCTCTCTAAGTGAGATAACAAAGAGGTATTGAATTGAATCTGTGAAATTTTCTTGCTTTGTTTAAATAGTCTAACTTTGTTAAATTATTAAAAAATAGAGTTAGACGCAGCGTTGGTCCTCAGTTCGTTAATCGTGTGATTTTGCTTGAGTACATTTGTCCAAATCTTGACAAAAAATCGTCCGAGGAACCTGAATGTCTCAAACTACGTCGTACTAATTTCATTCGTAACAGCTTTTTAAAATTTCGACGTCAAAACACTAATTTTATTCGTAACAGCTTTTTAAAATTTCGAAATTTAAAATCGGATATAAACTTACATTCGGCGCTTATGGCAACTCCAAAGTACCCAAAGTTTCTGTCTCACAATGTAGAAACAATGTGGAGACAATATAGATATAGTTTGCCACAAAGTTTCACGACGAAGGGTACAACGTATCCATTATGAGAATTTATGTTCGAGCTTCTGTTTAAATATAGCCCTCCATTGTGACGAGAAACAGATATTCTTTATTGCAGCTGGTTGAAACAAAAATGAGTAGAAAACACAGCCATCGCCGTGGTGTGTTGAGATTAAACGTGTAATTCAATGAGAGTGTCTTTAATTTCGAGAAAATTGATGCTGGAAGATTTAAAAATTGCTGACAAAATATCCTCTGAACGAATATCGTGGTATCGTTTTCTTTTCTACGTTTATATTTATTTAGAAGAAACAACGATGCACTTGCACGATTTTCCCATTAAACCTGTCAAGTGCATCGAGAAAATTAAATTTCGCGATTGTCGATGCTTCTCCGAAGAAAATATCTCGCGACGAAAACAGAGTTTTTTTGCGATAGCGATTCGCTCGTCGGTAGAGTCAATAATTAAACATAAGCGGTGAATTAAATGCGCAGTTTAATGTGCGGAAAGCGGCACAGTTAACGATCAGAGATTTATGGTGCGTTTATTTGTTTGGAGAATAACTAGTTCAGCTATTTTCAGGTGTGATTCTGTTTGCGATAATTCGCTTAGGTAGCGCTTCTATCATTTTATACGTTTACGACACCTCTGCGTGTACATGTTTTGATCGAGCCTAAGCCCAAGCAAAGACAAATATTATCCTTTGGACAAATTTCGGCTGTCTCCTCGTTTCGAATTCCTTACGCTGACAATTGCGTAATTTTGCCACCGTCTTCTTGGAGATTGAATCGGAATCTCTCCTGTATGGATTTTGCTAAAAATGAATCGCGTCTCGTCTGTTTGTTTTCTTTATGCGGAGCATGTTAAATTTTTCCAGAGGCTATTTCGTTTCGAAAATTGAACGGAATTTCTCTTATGAATTATACAACAGATGCTCTACTTTTCTTTCATACTTTCCGCGAGAAACTGCAAATCCTTTCTTTCAGAAAGAAATTATCCTTATTTTCCCACTTTCGGAAGAAGTTGTTTCTTATTTTTCTTTCTGGTTAATTAGTCCTTTGAAGTTAAAAAGGTTCTACTTTGGAAACTAATCCGCTGGGTAATAGGAATTTACTACGAATTTTTAAAAGTTGATAACTTATTAATTCACTTGCAATACCGCTCCAGGATAAACTTCCCTTACTATTTCTATAACATTTCTATAACATTTATTATTAAACGTGATATTGATTTAAATCTCGTTGGAAATTTGCAATGTGAATGTACGTTTCGAATATTAAACTTGACAATAAAAAATACGAAAATACTAAATAAGTATCTGCGAATGTGTTATCGTGAATTGTCGAAACGAACTCGTATTCCAATTGCCTGATGATTCTCCGTATACTTTTCGATCTTTCGGGGAAAATCTACTGGAAAGGGAAGTTTCAATCGTTTGTCTATGTGCGAGCAACAGCAAATCCTTTCTTTCAGAAAGAAATTATCCTTATTTTCTCTCTTTCGGAAGAAGTTGTTTTTTTATTTTTCTCTCTGGTTAATTAGTCCTTTGAAATTAAAAAGTTCTACCTTGGGAACTAATCCGCCGAGTGATAGGAATTTACTACGAATTTTTAAAAGTTGATAACTTATTAATTTACCTGCGATACTGCTCCAAGACAACTTCCCTTACTATTTCTATAACATTTCCATATTAAACGTGATATTGATTTAAATCTCGTTGGAAATTTGCAATGTGAATGTACGTTTCGAATATTAAGCTTGACAATAAAATACGAAAATACTAAATAAGTATGTGCGAATGTGTTATCGTATCGAAACGAACTCGTATTCCAATTGCCTGATGATTCTTCGTATACTTTTCGATCTTTCGGGGAAAATCTACTGAAAAGGGAAGTTTCAATCGTTTGTCTATGTGCGAGCAACAGCAAATCCTTTCTTTCAGAAAGAAATTATCCTTATTTTCTCTCTTTCGGAAGAAGTTGTTTTTTATTTTTCTCTCTGGTTAATTAGTCCTTTGAAATTAAAAAGTTCTACCTTAGGAACTAATCCGCCGAGTGATAGGAATTTACTACGAATTTTTAAAAGTTGATAACTTATTAATTTACCTGCGATACTGCTCCAAGACAACTTCCCTTACTATTTCTATAACATTTCCATATTAAACGTGATATTGATTTAAATCTCGTTGGAAATTTGTAATGTGAATGTACGTTTCGAATATTGAACTTGACAATAAAATACGAAAATACTAAATAAGTATCTGCGAATGTGTTATCGTGAATTGTCGAAACGAACTCGTATTCCAATTGCCTGATGATTCTCCGTATACTTTTCGATCTTTCGGGGAAAATCTACTGGAAAGGGAAGTTTCAATCGTTTATCTATGTGCGAGCAACAGCAGGCAGCGGCACTAACGTCGGCCAGCCTGGTATGAGACACAATTTCGCCAGTTAAAATTAGCCACGGGGTGCTTGGTGGCGGTGCATATTTCCGCATATACCGGGTTTATTTGCGGCGCGCACCGGGTACGTGTGCCGTGGGGACACCGGACGTTAAACGGGAACCGGAATGGCCCTTGCACGGGGTCACGTGTTTCGTAGTTACCTCTTTCAGCGATCCTTCCTTCGCGAATTGTGTTCGCGAAACACGTGCTGCTACCGTGCTGTTACTTCGTTCCGTTAAAGTTTTACGAGCGAATCTTCTTATTTTACTTTCCTTTCTGTAGTTTCTCTTTCCTTCTGAAATAATAGAACAAGAAGTCACGAGTGTTGTGAAGTCACTACGTTCTGTTCTAGTCGTAAACTGCTTGGTGCTTTATCAGTTATTTCTTTCGCAGTGGATAAATAGTGTTGTCAAGTTTTATTAAAAAATTAATTGAAGACCGCGACAGGTTGTAGTAGATAATCACAGTCGATCAGACTCCGAGATGGAAAAAAATCTATCTCGAATTATTTCTTTCATTTCCCTGCGCGATCTAATTCCACAGCCTTGCATCGCCACCATGAAATCATACCCGTGATCATAAATCTCCGTGCCAAGATTATTTCCATAAGCAGTGAAACGAAAATAATTTGCGTGGAACAGTGAACGTAAGATCACCGAAAAATAATCAAATCAACCAACGGGAGAATTTCAACGATTCTGTCGAATATAAAAAGAAGCAAAAAAAAAAAAAAAAAAAAAAAAAAAAAAAAAAAAAAAAAAAAAAAAAAAAAAAAAATGAAAGAAAAGAATAGGAAAGAAAGACGAGAGGAGGAGAGAGAAGTGGAGAAAGTGAAACGAAGAACGTAGGAAAGTGTCGCGGATGAATTTTGAGAGTTCCAGGAAAAGGCTCGTCCATTGTCGTCTGTGCTGAAAGTGGTCGATGTTTCACGAAGAGGGAAAGAGAGTAAGACAGCTCGTTTGAAGAGTCTGGGATGGCCCAGATTGTGGTCTATAATCGGAACGGTATAGAGACACGGTTTGTTGCCTTTCGGCTTTTAGTTGGCTTCGGGACTACGCCGTGGGTGAAAGGTGGAGGAGAGGGACGCGAAACTCTGACATATTCGATCATATGAGGGGACGTCACTTAAATGACGTCCCCTGTTTTAGAGCACTGCCACGTTCGAGACACGTGAGCCACGCACACGTGTCTTCCACACGAGGGTGAGTCGAGACTTCCTTCGGATTTCGATCCGGAGAACAGTTTTCACAGCGATTTCAATCGAAATCGAAGCGTTACGCTGCGAGCTTGCGTATATAATATTTTTCAATTTTAAATTTATTTATTTTACGATCGTTTTTCTGACCGAGCTCTTTACGTTTTATCTTCGTTTTCTTCGAGTGGCATCTCTATCTTATTTCGCTGAAACTGCAATACTACTACTATTAATAATAATAATATTCAATATAAATAAGAAGATCGAATTTTCTAATTTCCTCCTCTGACTTGTATTATTGCTCGAAGATTCCCAAGCCTGTTTACAACAAACGAGCGAAATTCAATTTTCAATGAAATTTTCTTCTCGATTTTCAGTCCCACGGCAACGTTTCCATTTCGAAGTAATATAATCCCAAGAGCAAGAATGCTCGAGAAGGTCTCACTCGAAAGAACGTTATTCGTGCGTGTGTTCGTTTGGCAAGCAATGCAGAAGCGGTGGCAAGCAATTAAGAAGTAATAGGATGAAATTCGAAAGGTGGCACGCCAGTGTTTCTGCGAACTTAGCCGAGTAAGCGGCTTAGCATCGAAAATAAAGTAGTCGAAGCATTCACGGCCAGACGTGAATATTATCAAACGTTGAAGAAACTGACCAGGTGACCGCGCGAGTTTTCAGGAATTTTCTTTCTTTGCTTAATGTCGTCGCGCGCGTACGAATATTCCTCGCCGATCTCGCAACCGACGTTCCCAAAGCGTAAAACGTGGAAAAAAGGCGCAACGCTCTAAACTGCAATATCCGGCAAAAATACACAGATCGATTTTCACGACCAGTTACGTTCGTTTATAGGTTACTCAAGTATAAAAGAACCGTAGCGTGTAAAAAGCCACTACTATTTCCAGTAGCCCCGCGTGGCAAGCGTTAAAACACAATTTCCTATGAATTGCACAAACAGTTCCTCGCACGAGTAAATAAGCCATGTTTACACGAATGGGACCAGCAGCTGACCACTCGTACGTCAGACGAAATCTCCTTTTTGGCCGGCGGATCGAAGCGATCCGAAATTAAACGAAAAGAAGCCAGAGAAAAGGCAGTGAAATCTAATTTCTCACTCGTTTCTTTCTTTCTTTTTTTTTTTTTTCTTTAGTTAAAGTTCGACACTCGCGTTGACTTGAACTAAATGCCACGACACTCACTGGTAATAGGTTTCCAGAACGTTTGAAACAAGACGAGTAAATGTATTTTTAAATAACACTGCGAAATGAAAAAGTTTAACGTAAGATCCGACAAAGTGTAAATATTAAAATTTCACGAAACGTGAATGTCAAATAAAAATATTGGAACGTGGAAGTTTCACGTCGACGATTCACGAATGTACGTCATTAATAGTCCGTTCTGTTTTCGTCAATATATTCGTTTATTTCTCCGAACACCGGCGCCGTTGATTTCCTGTATAACGAAGAGAGAGAGTTATTTCACGATTAAAACGATCCATGGTATTCTTTCGTACTTTATTTCAGATTCGCCGGGAGGCCTGGTATTTGGTATACCGCTGTCACAGTGTTTGGAGAACGATAGGATCGCTAGAATCGCCGCTGGTGAGGTCTCGGACGTTGGTTGCCTGTCGAGGAGCAGCAGACACGGTAGCAGAACGAGTTTTACGAGCCTCATCGAACCTACTGTCGCGGCTAAGACCGACGAGGTAAGTGAAATTGTCGATCATTTCCTCTCGTTATCACGACACGTCAACGAACGAATATGTTGCTTTGGAGGATTTATTTAATCTTTTCATCGGTGTCACACACGTCACTAAGAAGATCACTGGAGCTTATTCAAGATTCGAAATTTTCTTTGATCTCATTAGCTTTAAAACAGCTTCAAAGAAAATAGAAAGCAGTAATAATTCTTTTGAATTAATGCGTTATATACGTCGCTAATTTATTTGATCAAATTTTCTTTCATTTGATGAACTTATCACAGCTTTCGCAACAATTCGTAATAAAATAGAACATATCACATACGTCATCAAGTGCGTGAAATTTGCTCGATTAAACTTTCCTTCGGTTTAACTAACTCGTCACAGCTTTCAGGACAATTCTGAAGGAAATAGAAAATTCCTTTGAACAATGTGTTACGTGTATCATCGAGCGCGTGAAATTTCACGACAGTTATAAATAAGATAGAGTCAATAATACGCTCTAACGATGCCTGCTCGGTGCCTAAAACAATCGTCTTTCTCTTCTCTAAAATATATTCTTTTCCACGTTTAATCGAGAGCTTCGTATCCGCAGTAGCGCAGTACCGTATGTGGTCAGCCAACCGTGTCCACCGCTAATTTTTAAACTCTCTCCTCCAATTTTTCTGCCGGACAAATTTCTTTTGGCAATCGAGATGTTGAAGAAGGTTTACGCAGCAATGCGAAGGACAGATGTGGCGGAATATTTGCGAAAGGGAATGGTCCACGTGGATGTGTGATATTTTATCGCGGGACAATGTGCCGCGTTTACTTTGGCAGATTTGGTCGTCTCGTACAAGTCGAAATTACGTGCGCGCGATAGCATGGCCAACGCGAACTCTTACACTCAGGAATTTTACTCGATTCTCCCGATGATCGCTCGGCTTGAAGAGGAGGAGAGCACGCCTACGCGCCACGGATGGAAATCCGAGTCACCTGTTTTAGATTGACGTGGACTAATCTTCACGCATTCTCAACACACGTATCCGAATAGAAATTTCAGTGTCTCTCAATGCGAAAATATGGCCGTCGCAAAAATAGACGCGACGCGCGAATAACTTCGTTTCTATTTTCTAATCCTTCCTTCTCCTACTTTTCTCTCTCTCTCTCTCTCTCTGTCTACGCGAAGTATCTCGAAGTGGATGGCTCGATAGATCGTCTGACAAACTAATTTATTTCGGGGCGAAATTATATGTAAAATATCCATGGAAGTTTCATTGATCTCTATGAATATGCAAATCGTTGAACTGTGACCTGCTGTAATGTTGTTGTGAAAATTGTAAATGAAAATTCGATTCTTGGTGGAGTGAAAACATGAAAAATATCACAAATATATTATTCATGAGTCGTACATATTATTTTATTTATTATTGTTTATTATCAGTAGCGAATTATTATTTTATTTTTACATTATTATTGTTACAGTATATATATTCACATTTGTAAACTCCTTAATTCTTATTTCAGTCGTGTTAATAAATCGCTTGTGTTCCTTTTTCCTTCGGTTCTAGCTATTTCGTCTCTTTTACTTTTTGAATTTGCTGTTGAATACCACGCAGAGACGTGCGAACTTTATGTCAGTATCTCTGATATGATATGAAAATCGAGATTTCAATAGTTCTTCAGAAAAGTGGAGATATTTCTGTTCATGTCGCAATATTAGAAACTCGAACTTTTTGTTAGAATTGTTTGCAATATCAGTAGGAATGTGAGACGATATAATGAAATGATGAATTCAGAATAAATAATTAGAAATGATAATTTCTCGTTCGCTAACAGGCACGAAAATATATACTTTCAATTTTTAATCAATACGTCGAAAATGACAAGAATTTAGATTTAATCACGTATTTCATGTCACGAAGGTATTCCACAAGGATGCAAAATATTCAAAACGGTGTCGTGATATTTAGTAGATGAAACAAATTTTTATTTAGATGCTCATAAAAATGCAAAATTGCGTAAACATCCAGTTACAATTTCATCCTCCGTCGCGAATGGATTTCCATAAATTAAAAACTACAATTTCCTACCCAAATTTTTCGCGAAGATAAACCACACGATACTATTTTACGAGAAATGACCTCCACCAGCATCATCCAACGATCAAATACAGCACGTAAAATGTTACACACTATAAAAGAGATAAAGCTTAGTCATTCTCTAGAAATATTCGTACCAACATCCAATAGTAGCAGCGTGTTTTACAAAATATTTCTTACGTTATTACGTCTCATGAAAAAATAACAGAACTGCAAAATGCTTAGAAAAAAGAATTAAAGATCAATCCGACTCCGGAGATGTCCCCGTGAAAATCCGATGTTCAGTTGTCTTTTGATAATATGCATAAAAATACAGATGCATCGATATCGGAATCAAGGTGCAGCTGGGTGTATCAGAAACGTAGCGACGTAGTGCATACATACATACACACGTAGCGTTTCATATGTAACGTATGTATATCTTGATTGCGTCACGATAGTCGGACGATACGGTGCTTTATCAAAACGAGTGAACGCGTCGAGGAGGGAAGAGGCTCGAGGAAGGAGCGTCGCGTGACGAATATCGTGGATACGATCATAAACGTCGTCATCGATTACGTCAGTGTCCACGGGTCACGACGAGGGCGTTTATCGATGGCAACTTTGCGAGTCAGGGGACGAGACGTTCGAACGACGAGCGGCAAGTGGTTATTTTTTGATGGATACGTCAGAACGACGACGACGACGACGACGACGACGATGCCGATTTACAGCCGTTTATTCTATATTCCGTGGAAGTGCACAACGGCCGAGACGGACGAGGGAACGCGCCCCGTTGCCAAATTCTCTTACCGGATTTAAACTAACAGTTTTCGTCCAATTAAATGCCAATGGGCGACCCTGTCGCCCGTTATCCTTCAGCGTTTCTCCATCGAAACGATCGTTTCTCGTTCGAAGCGATTGCACGAGATTTGGAAACTGAGGGGAGAGAGACGTTAGCTTGAGCGGAACAGATAATCAGACGAATATTCATAATTATTATTAGACAGAACTTGCACGTTAGATGGAAAATTCGTTTAAGAATATTGTTTAAGAATATAATACTATGCTTTGCGTGGAATTCTTTTCAATAAACGACTCTTTCTTTTTAATTTCTTCGACATCGTAGTTTTATATTGAAAGCAACTTGAAGAAACATACGCTTTTAATTGCTATTGTAGTTTCTATTTCTCAAATTCGAGGACTCTTTCGATCCCATCAACATGGTCGACTGTTGAAATATTTTTGGCAAAAAGTACTCGATAATTTTGAAGCCAGTGAACAACAACTGTTTGTCTTGTAACAATAACAATAATATGGTGATAATAATGTCGTACAATTATAGCGCAATAACAGCACACGTATGTAATGAGATAAAAATTTGAAAAAAAGGCGACGGACATGTTTGCGTAACTTTCAACAAGTCACGTAGCGCCACGAAAAGTTAATACATTGTCAGCAATGAGAAAAAAAATTTTCTCCACGTTTATCCATCCCGCCGCCTCCTCGATTCTATTTTTATTGGAAAAAAGCTATCGCCGTCGCGGCCGGAAGTAAATGTTTTGATTTGAGAAGCACCGGCGCCACCTGGTCGATAATCACGAATCTTCTTCTTCTTCTCTTCATTTTTCTCTTTCGTTTTCTCTTTCTTTTTTTTTTCTTGTTACGTTCTCCATGCAAAGTATTCGAACGTTCAGGCGTTATTTTAAGAAAGTCGAGGATTCGAGCCGCGCCTCTCGATTTACACGATCCGATCTAATTTCCGACCTAAGTTTACGTTTTTGCGTATTGATTTTTCGGCTTGATGGCGGCATACGATTTGTTCACGTTGGAGAATTTATTTCAGCCGGGCGCACCTTTTGTTCTAACACCTGTGACGTTCATCACCTGTTCCTCGCTTTTACATCAATTTGTCAATCGTCGCGTCGATTTAACGGCAGTAGTTCGTAGAAGTTAACAACTAACTACTTAAAAAATTATCGTAAAGATACTTTCCTATTTCGTAGGGAAAATATAATATCGTTATACGTAATTTTTTAAGCGGCTAATTGTCAACTTCTAAGATGTAACAAATAGTTATTCCAATTATTGGGAAACAGAATGTTTCGAATAATGAATTTGGTATTTTAATACCAAGATATCAGAGGTGATTAAAGTTAAATTTATAAATTTCCATAGTCTTGAGTGTTAGATGGTCAAAATGGATAGTTTCTATTTTCTCGCAGAAATTTTATAAAGCAATAGTTTGCATTTCTGAGTGAATGAACATATACATGTATAAATATAATTCTTATCGTTTCGTTTTATATTTTAATAGCCAACTTTACTGTTAGTCATAATTGATTTTCTAATAAAGAAAGAGAAACGTAATTATGAAAAGCACGATTTATCAATATCTATTAGTACTATAAAACGATTATAAAGCGATTCATGTGGAAAGATGTAGGATATTTAAAAAAATAAAAAAAAAAAAAAAAAACAATGATAAAACGTATCGAATGATCAACACCAACTTGCTTTCTATTTCGCTGGCATAATATACTAAAATTTAACGTGTTAACTCGTTCTTTTCTCTGGCAAATTCTTACGTGAATGTGTACCAAGTAACTCGATTTATTCTTCGCGGGAAAGTTGGAACAGTTTGTAAATAATTGAGAGTCCCTTACGAACTCGTGACGCACTTGCCTCGTGGGCGGAATTTTTCCAACATGGAGAGGAATTCCGCCGCTTACGAGTCAGAAACTAAATCTACCACGCAAATGTATCCTTTTTTCCCGATTGATACGATAGTTGTTGCAACAATGCACGCATATTTCTCGATGGAAACGGGAAAACTTCTAAAAGGTTTAATTTCACTGCAAGTATAACATTTCGATATTAACCTTTGAAAGCAAATCGTTGTTGAACTTTCGTCCTACGTGAGTCATATTTTATTATTATCACTCAGTAATGATTTTTTCCAATTTTATTATGTTATTATGTATTAAACAGCACTCGTGTCGAAATGCGATCGTTTGATTCTTTATTAAATTTTAAAGTGAGAAACACTCTATCAAGATGTCATGATCTCCTTTGAAGAATTCCTTTTAAGATGAATTTTCAGACAATTCAGAGTGAAATGCTTCAGCTTCGTTTGAAAATAGATAATCGATACAGAGGAACCTGATTCACGCATTGCGGGAACAGCGTTGATTTATTGTGGCGCCACCCTCGACTTCCGGTTATTCAATCGAATATATCAGACTCTCCATTCGGTTTGTCGATACGTTTCATTTTATAATTTCACACGCCACTGTGACGTTTGATTTCTTACCAATTATTTATCTCAATTTTACTCTGTCTGTATCGAATTTTCTTTTACCATTGCTTTATGGCGCGAAAATCCATCACCTTCTTCAGAGTATATTCCTTTTGAATCTTCCTTTTAAACACAGAGCGCGATCATGATAAACCATATCAAATTAATGATTAATTTCTTACTTATACCCGAGCTAGAATTGAAGTTGTGAAAAGTGAAGAGATATATACCTAAGTGACGTTAGTTTAGAACTTTAGTAGAATATAATCTAAAATATAAAATGCAACATACATAGATGTATTACATCTCATTATACGATCCATGATTAAAACACATGTCATTTATAATACAGAAATTAAAGTTAAACAAAGAATAGAAAAAACATCTAGACTCAAACTAGTATTAGTTTGTTCACATAATGTTAAAAGTCCATAAAATCTCTCCGAAAAAATTTCCAAGATCAAAGAGATTCTTTCATCAAAGAACAAACGTAAAATCTCTCTAAAATAAAGTTTCGAGAAGGATATGAAAGCCCGAAAAAAAAAAAAACTGGATGTTCAAACTAACGAACAACGTTAGCGAATCGATACAATTTTTTTTTTCGCTTGATTTTGCATTTGCACGAAACGTCAGAGTTATGGAGCACGTGCGTATTATTGATAACACTTCTGTGGCTGGGACGTTTGGCCGATGACTCGATGAAAATACCACGTGCTTAAATAACCCCGATTGATCGGTTTAAAGCGATTCCGGAACGTACGATGTAGCGTTGCACTTCCCTCGTCGACGTCACGTGTATCCCGAGCCGGGTGACGTCACTGATTCGACGACACGAATAGAACCGAGATCAGAGAGCGATAATTTTAGCCACGGGATTAATTAAGATCCCTAAATTTTGCAAGATTTCCTGTCAAACCAGACGGACGAACACGACGATTGAGGAACGCTGAACGCGTACATCGATCTTACGCAACTGTAATCGAATTGATATTTTAGAGAAATGTTCTTCTTTCTTTTTTTTTTTTCTTTTTTTAATCGAAGCGATCTATAAGTAGACCGAGAGATAGACAGAGGGTTTATTTGACCTGTTGGATGTTATGGCTACACCGTGTGTGGATTTTTATGAATTTACGACTGCGCACAATAAGCAGGAAATATAGAAAATAAATTTCAGGTAAAGTGTAATAGCTTTCAGTAGGTCAGGACAAGCCTTCAATTAAAATTGCCATCCGTTCGATGCGAATTTTTGAAAACTGTAATTATTATGGTATTGTAATACCATACACAATTATTTAAAAATGTAATGAAACCTCGATAGAAAATTAATTCATCGACGCCTGTTTCCGATATGTCAATACACAATTTACGCGATATATTTTCATTATCTAAATAATCGATAATATAACATTTCAATGTATAACGATATAATGTATCGATCATATTTTCATTCTAAAGTAATCGATAATTTGTTACAGGTAAATAATTTACTTATCGTCTTATTCTACGACGCGAAAAATTTTCCCATCGATTTCCCTTTTCCGCGAGACAATCCCTTTCCTTCTTTCGCCTTCTCCATTTCGCGTCCCATAAAAACTCTCTCGAAATTCTTCGCGTTCTTGAGGAGATGGATCGCGCGCCGGTGACGCAACGAGGATTGAGAGAAATGAAATTGTTTCAGGGTGGCTCGTGCGAGTCGTTGTCGTCGAAAGGCGGAGCTCTAACCGGAAGCGACTCCGGGGTGCTCGAGCTGAGCGACAGCGGCGGAGGAGGCCCTCCAGGAGAATGGGACGCGGTTCCCGGCGTAGTCAGACAATGTATCAGGCATCTAGAAAATACGGGCCTTCGGACGCTCGGTGTCTTCCGGGTGTCGCCTTCCAAGAAACGAGTGAGACAGGTGAATACTCCACGACGTCAGATATTCTTATTTTCATTTACTTTAACGCATTGCTCCTCGAAGCTATTCATTCGACGACGAAGCCATTCATTCAAATCATTTATAGAGGGAGAATAATCGTGCGATTATAATCGTACATTACGAGATCGTTTCGATGAAATTCCTGCGATCGTAAGATTATACGAAGATTAACGTGACGAAAAACGTTTCTTTTTTTTTTTTTCCTCAGTTACGAGAAGACTTTGATTGTGGTCGTGAGACAAAGATCGGACCCGATCAGTGCCCTCACGACGTAGCGACCCTCCTCAAGGAGTTTTTTCGAGATCTCCCGGACCCTTTGCTCTGCAGAGATCTCTACCAAGCCTTCGTCCATACACAGAGTAAGAGAACAAATATGTTTCCTTCGAACGACCCTTTGAGAAATTCTGTCTTATCTGCGAAAGATAAATTTCACAAATCTTTCTTACCTTCGTTATTCTTAGTTTCATACGTGGACCTTCGTACTTAGTTTTATAAACGAATCTTTTGGAATTCGATAAAATCTTCAGATGAAATATTCACGTCAATGATCATCAATCTATTCGAGCATGAAAATAATTTTTCGGACAAAATCTTCACTATGAAACATGGAACATATATAACGTGCCGAAATGTTACAACACAGATATTTATCTGATTGGCAAAATTACTTTTATGAAGATGAAAACTACAAGAAAAAAATGAAAAAGAAGAAGAAAGAATTAGAGAATCACCTCGTCTAGTTAAATAATAATAATAATTCAATTTGATTAAATATTTTACAACAACAGCACGATTTTAATTAAATACCTACTTTTGTACATTTCTGCGCCCTCGAAATTTGTATACGTTGAAAAATTTTCAATCCATTGTAGAAAGGAGTCAAAGTAAAAGTACGTTTAATTCATCTCTCGTTCGTCGATGCATTTTCCTTTCACTACATTGACGTGCGAGATTGCGTACGCGCGCTAAGAGAGATTCTCGTACCCCGCAGAGATCCGGAACAGGCGACTTCAGCAAGAGGCACTTCAGCATCTCGTTCAGTTGCTGCCTACGCCAAACCGTGAGACACTCTGGGCACTTTTGAACTTTCTCAGCGTGGTGGCGGCGAACAGCGAAGATCAAAAGAACGAGACAGGGGATTGGATACCGGGCAACAAGATGGACACGATCAACTTGGCCACGGTGAGTGACAATTCGCGTACTTGTTAATTCATTGGAAGCAAAATACAGGGAAGTAAAACGAATATGTATTAAATCCTTGTGATTCTTGTGATTTTGTAACAATAGCGTGGAAAAATTGTAGAAATTGGTGTAAGTTTGTTTAAAAAAATATCGTGTTAACGCGACGTTGGTCATCGATGGATCGATCGAGAGGATTTTCGATGTTCATTCACCGCGAGAGTGAATTAAGTTTTAATTAAGAAGAAAAGAAGAAGAACAGAGGGACGACTCGTAAACGTAGATTGATGATAGGAAATTTTATTGCTAGACGAAAGGACTCGGAGGAATGTATGCGATCGGAATTTCATCGAGATTGGCTTTGCACTGTAGGATTGTTGCCGCTCTTCTTTTAATCTCTTTCACGTTTGGTCTCTAATCTTTTAATGAAAATCGTCGTCGTAATCTCTTCTAACTTTTATAAATATAAATATAATTCTTATAAATTTTATAAAAGTGATTTCTTTCAGCATGGTGCAAATGGTACAGTTCATTTTCGACTACAAGATTCTTCCGAATCTTCCAATTTAACTATCGACTGATTGTTTGGAGATCGTAAAAATAATTCGTCTATAAATCAAACCGATCAATCCCAAATGACGATTCCGTTTTAGAGTATAGCTTGTTTTTCTCTCTCAAAAGCGTACATTTATTTGATTGAAAGTATATATTTATTTATTTGATTTCCGTTGAGAAAGTTCTGCGATTCTCTTTTAATTTTTATAAAAGTAATTTCGGTTCTCGATTTTTCGAATCTTTTGATCGATCGTTTGGAAATTGTGACAAATCTCGTTAGAGAAAGATCAAATCGTATTTCGTTATTTCGATCGCGAGCGTATATTTATTTGTTTGATTCCTTTTCCCTTTCTCAGAATTGTCCATGAATTTTGTTCAATTTTCTTTGTGAAGGTATTCGCTCCGAACATTCTCCACTGCGTGAAACCTGGACAAAGGTCCGAGGTGTCTGCGGAAAGGGCGGAAGAAAGGATAGACGTGATAAACGTGGTCAGAACTCTTTTGGAACACGCCTCGACGTTATTTACGGTACCAGCCGCCCTTCTGGACGAAGTATACTTGCACATGATGGACACCCATCCGGCGGATTTAGATCTTGCGCTCTCTCGACGTGCCGATGAGTGAGTAACATTGAATGATCTCTGTTCTCTGTTCCCTGATCCCTGTGGGATCTCTCTTCTTTCTTGAATCTTCGAGGGAGATCTTCTAAAGGGAACGCTGGCGATTCGTTTTCGCACAATTTACTACGCACAATTCACTAAGGACAAGAATTTAGGATTATTGATACTTCTGTAAAATTCTTTGAGAATGATCGAGTCTTCTGTTTCTTTTGAAATTCCGTTCAATTTCATTCGTCGTGCGATAATGTAATTTTATATACTATTTTGTAATAATCCTAAATTATAATGTAATTCCAAGTAATCAATGATTCCAACGAGATTAAGTCAAACAAGTTAAATAAAATTTTTATTAAAGTTATAATTCCAAAGATTCTTAAATTATTAAAATTCCTGCATGCGTTGCGTGTTTTTTTGATTTTATCAAAAATTCCAACGCAACAGTTTCGCAACAAGATTCTAAATTACAAATCTACAATACAATTCCAAGAATCGTTCAATCGTACGATCATGCCACTCTCGGTTCCATTACATTTCCATTAAATTCGCCTCGAAAATAAACGCGCCGCTCTCCGTCGCTTTATGCAATTAAACGGGCAATCGTGAATATTCTATCCGCCATTTATCTCACTGCCAAAAGACACACACCACACTCGGCCGCTCCGTCTTTTCGCGGAGATTTTTAATTCGATCGCCTGACACTCGTGGCAAACAGCCAGGCGAGGTTCGCTCGCGTGTGTCAGTCGGCGAGTCGCGAGTTGGAAAAAGCTGACAGCGTGTTTCGTACGGTTTTTTTTTCGCAGGCAATGCGGAGACGAGGCGGACCCGTGCAGCGAAGCCGAAACCTTCTCGGTCGAGGAGACGCTGACAAAGTCGACAACGTCCACGGCCGGGACGACCACGTCCACCAGAAAGGTAACCAATCCCAGATCGAACTCAGATATCCACCGCAACGTTTCGCGGTATTACTCTGACGTCTTCGGCTGGAACGTTCTCGAGATCGAGGAAAGATATGGCTCGACTTCAAAGGGGCGAAACTTCTTGCACACCTTGAACGTTTTTATTCTCTCTCTCTCTCTCTCTCTCTCTCTCTCTGTATCTCACCCTCGATCTGCGGGAGTAGTTTCGTTTCAAATGTTGCAATTTGACTGACGTTTTTTGTTCTTTGATTCTTTTTTTCTTTCTTTTTTTTTCTGTTGTTGGAAATTTTTTATTAATATGTTTATGTGCGTATGGAAGTCATTAAAGTCATTAATAAGTAGAATGTACAGGATCCACTGTGTGCAAATGAAAATTAGACGAACAGTCATGGTTGTAAATTTTTAACACCTTCAAGTGTTACGGTTACATAAATTGAGATACTAAATGTACTGATGAAGCGACTAAATAATTACTTCATCTTTACACAAACATTTCATAAGAACATACATATTCGGTTTTTGTTCATTTCGTGGTCGATGCATGATGTTTCTCTGACAATTGCCACAAGTCCAAATAGAATTTTTACTCTTTCTTAAATACATGTGCAAGATATCGACTATAGTGTATAAAAAGTTATTGAACCACTCTGCAATCCAGTCCTAAGGTACATTCAGTATTTTTGAAATGATTGTTGAAAAAGAACGATCGTTAAGATTCCCAAGAACGTTTCACGCAAATAAAAATTGGATCGATTTTGGTTGTTAAAGGTGTGGACGAGGGAGCAGTGTCTTCACCAAACAGCTGGTGTTGGCGGTGATATAGGTCCAAGGCCCAGGCGGCCAAAGAGGCCTGGCAGCCGACGAAAAGAGGAAGGCAGAAGTAACAGCGTGGACAGTGGATCCAGCGAGGATCCAGCCGATCCACGAAGGAGATCCTCGCCGATGGTAATCACCGCCAGTCTTACCATACCGATGTCTGGAGCGTTCACGTTGAACCTCGACGATCCAGACATTCCTTACATCGAGGAAACTCCTAAGCAACCTAGTGCACCGCCGAGAAGGCAGAGGCAGCGATCGATCTCCGGTTGCAGCGAAGGTATGCCCTTTCCGAATTCTGCTACAGTATTCGGAATATTTCAAATTAAGTGGGAACCAGTCAGGAGCAGCTTTGTTTTATAAAATATTCTCCCTTTTATTTGTCGAGTACTTTTATCGAGGATTCTCGAGATTTTTTAGTAATAATTATAAAATAATTATAAAATAATAATTATAAAATAATTATAAAATAATTATAAAATAATAATTATAAAATAATATTTTCACGATAGAAAGTGTAGAAAGTATTGAGTGAATTTTGTTCTGGTGTTCGAATTTTGCCCTCAAATTTCCAAGATGTTCTTCATATTTTAAGAAAAATTTTAGAGAAATTGACAAGGATTGTTTTGCATCTTTTTCGTGACTAAGAAATTTTTTAACAGTTTCAAATTTAGAAGTTGGGTACACTGGAATAATAGATTTAACAAAGTCAGTTACATCTCCGTTCCAACTTTCAGTTTCCCAAAGTACATGCAACAAATAATAGAATAACCAGAGCTACACTTGCCACCTCGAGAAATTGACAAGGATTGTTTTACATCTTCTTCATGACTAAGAAATTTTTTAACAGTTTCAAATTTAGAAGTTACACTGGAATAGATTTACCAAAGTCAGTTACATCTCCGTTCCAACTTTCAGTTTTCCAAACTACATGCAACAAATAATAGAATAACCAGAGCTACACTTGCCACCTCGAGAAATTGACAAGGATTGTTTTACATTTTCTTCGTGACTAAGAAATTTTTTAATAGTTTCAAATTTAGAAGTTACACTGGAACAATAGATTTACCAAAGTCAGTTACATCTCCGTTCCAACTTTCAGTTTTCCAAACTACATGCAACAAATAATAGAATAACCAGAGCTACACTTGCCACCTCGAGAAATTGACAAGGATTGTTTTACATCTTCTTCGTGACTAAGAAATTTTTTAATAGTTTCAAACTTAGAAGTTACACTGGAACAACAGATTTACCAAAGTCAGTTACATCTCCGTTCCAACTTGCAATTAACCAGAGCTACACTTGCCACGTCTGCATTTTTCTCATACAATGTTCTAAAAACTCTGCACCGCTCCTGATAGTAAAATTATTACTACTCTTGATAATAAAGTTATTATTTGCTACCAGGCGGAAGACACGGAAGCGACAGCGCGGTGGGTTCATCCGCCACTTTGTCGGGCGACCAAGTTCCAAGCTCTCCACCCTCGTGGGCGTCATCGCCGCCAGCCAGCCCTGACAGCGCGGTCACTGCTGTCTCCTACATCCCCGACCAACAGGCCGTCCTTCAAAGGGTGTCGTTCACCACCTCGAGCGAGCTACGGCAAGTGACCAGGTCGAGCAGCAGCCAAGAGACGTCGAGGAGCACCGCGGCCCCGTACACGCCGAGCATCACCAGCATCGGTGGTGCGGTTTTGAGGTGAGAATCCTGCTCCTCTGAACTATGCTGGCTTCCGTGTGCAGCTGACAGGAATTGGCCGGATGATCTTGATTCGTGCTACTGTTCTGGTATTCGCGCGGAACATCTGGGACAGTTCGTTCACCCCCTTCGAATCTAGTGCAATGCACCGTCGCGGTGCATTCACCTTGGCATCGCGGTATTAGGTCGTCGTATTTGGTTGTTCGCGCTTCTTGTAATGGTGGTAAGGAGCCTTTTTTTCTGTGGTCACCGCGGTCGTCGTTGTTCGTCGATTTATTTATTTATTCATGCTTCTTTTTTTCATTATTTCCGTTCACTAGTCGAGTCTCTCAACTGGTTGTCCAGTTTAGTGATTTGTTTCATTTCCAAGTTTCTAGGACTCGAGTTCAACTATTTCTGCAATGGAAATTGCTTACTTTGTTTTATTTTTAGGTTTCGTAGGGTGGTTTCTTCTTTGTGTAGAATTATTGGAATTCAATTATTTGACAGTTTCGCAATTTTGAATTTTAAATTATGAATCTGGTTGTAATTAAACTGTGTCAGTGACAAGTTCGAAAGTGCAAAAATACATGGTACAAAGGTATAAAAAAATATTGGTAGAATAGTAACAGTTGAACCAAATCTCTATCCGGATTTAATTTTTCTTTTTTACATATTATTGTTATTACTCAAGTATTTGTATTTAAGTAATAATTTATATTAATATAACTATTATAATATTACTAATATATACAATAGTTATAATATAAATAGTTATATTAAATAGTTATAATATAACTATTCCATTAATTAATAAATATAATAAATACGCATAAATATTACCAATGCAAGTCTACTCGTATTAAAACTGATACGTTTTTCGAATATTTTATGCATTTCCAAGTCTCGAGGAAAAATTTTTCCACCCCCCCCCCCTCCCCCTCGCCACAGCTAATTCAATTACTTTCCCAATTTTCCAGATCGAAGACCGCCGACATCGAGAGGATGTTACACATCTCCAGACCAGACACAGGCATCTCGACGTCGCAGCAGAGCAAAACCAGCTCCACAACGTCCTCGGAGAGCAAAAAATACACGAAGAGACGTTACACAGACTCGAGGCATCAGACTCGTCACATCCCCGATTCCGATACGTTGGCGGGGAAGAACACGGCCACGGTTTCGCCCTCGTCCTCCGTGACCATGTCCTCCTCGTTGTCGGTGGCTGCCGCGCAGAACCAAAGAACCAGAGCACAGCCGGTGTGGAAACGACGGGAACTCATCTCCAGCGCGCCCAAGGACAGGGAGGGATACTTCTGAATGTCCCTGATCGGGCGATCGAGTCGAATGTCCTCGAATGGATCTCGATGAGCAATTTTCTCTTGGAACTCGTCTCTCAAGCTTCGTCAGAGATTGGAGTTTCGTTGAGCGCTCGATCGAAAGTTTTGTGTCGATCTTAAGTAGATAGGAACGGGCTGAAAATTATGTCGAGGAAGTGTGTACGAATCGATTGATAAATCGTACCTAATCTTGCACTTAGGTACTGTTTAGGAAATAATTGAATCAAGTAGTTCAATTGCAGTTTCCATTGCTTCCACTCCGATGGAATGTGAAAGACGAGAATGTTGTACATTTGTACAAATTTTTCTACGACGAAGGTAACGAAAGGTTGTATGTTCTTATAGGTATACTCAACTTTAATAATAATATTTTGAGACGTTTCGGGGGGGGGGGGAAGACTGACAAGCCTTGTGCCTTGACGTATTCAAATTCTAAAGTATCAAATGTTCCCCTAAACGATGAGGTACTTAACGTATTTAATGATCGTAAATTACATGACTTTTACAGTCTAATCTTAAACAGGTTAATGGTAAATTTGAAATTTATGCGCTGAATAAATGAACCACGAATAATTTCGTGAGAAAAGAAAAGTTCAAAGAGGTCCAAACCGAGCATACGATTCGATCGTCGAAAGTGTCCCAAAGTGAGAATAAAAAAAAAAAGAAAAAAAAAAACAATATAGTCACTGCCGATCAGGCGTGGCCTGGCAAAGTGTTCCTCGACACGTTTCTCGCTTCGGAAGTGAGAAATCGTGTGTTCGACGTATCGTGGGGTGTCTATTGGTTCCTAGACTACCGTCCTCGCGCTCGCAAAGATCTCCGTGACGAAACGCACGACTCTACACATACACAAACACATACACACACACTCTCTTTCTCTTTCTTAATCTTTCTTTTATCTCGTTTCTGTCTCTCCTCTCATTCTCTCAACGAGATTGTAACCTCGTGCTGTAACAAATGAATCGAACGAGAGGATCTTTCTACCTTGCGATTAATTTATACGGAAGAAAAGAAAAAAAAAAAAATAGAATCAATCAGCAACAAAATGGAACATTGATCTTGTATCTACATTCTGATGTAGTAGCGACACGTTAGTAGCGATTTGTAAATTATTTTTATTACCCGAAGGATTCGTCCGAGTTCCTCGTCGTGAATTCGCGAGGACCGCAATGCCGTGTGCATCGTGTGAATCCTCGACGAACCAAAGTTAAAGCAAGACTAGTCTCGAGTCCCTTGAACTTGTATCGGGCCATACTATCTCTCTCTGGATCAGCTGAGACATCGTCGTTCGATTTTTCTTCTCTTTTTTTTTTCTCTCTCTTTTCGATGAAACGAATAATTACCGCCTTACGTACGCTGTTACGTACGCGGAGACGTATGCATTTCGTGAAAATCGAAGACTATTATATTTTTTCATAGTTACCGTAGGTACCTAATGGGACCGACAGTTTGTGATCCAACGACGACGAACCAGCAGAGCCGAGCTAATTAATTTTAATTAACTGGTTTCGCTCTTTCTCTCTCTCTTTTTCTCGCCGGGAGTTCTTTCTCTCGTTGCTCGTTACTTCTGTACTTCGATAAATTGCTCTTCGTGCACGAGGAAGACGCCTTGAATGAATCCGTGTACTGCCGTGAGAGACGCGTGGCCCGAAAGACGCTGTTGTTCGTCATTTAAGTTTTCATTTTCAGTCTGTAAGCTAATAAATGAAGGTTAATTTTTTTACCACCTCGAGTACCTTATATTCCTGTTTCCTCGTTAGAGGTATTGTTGTATATTTTGCAATGTCTGTACCTTATGGTAGTTTAGTCTAGCCAGATTATAGCGAGACCGGGACATCGTGAATATTAAGTTAAATATTAAACTTGAAAATTTAAATATTAAATGTCAAACATAAAGTATTAAATTGAGCATTTGACAACGTGAAGTTTAAATATGAAACATTCAGAATTAAATATTTAATTTAATACGTGCGATTGTGGATTGTGTCTGTGGACGAATGAAGTGCAAGAAAGAGGATACGCTGGTGATCATGAATCATAGAAATTCCTTTATTATCGATCTCCTTGCGTACAGTCCTCACATGATTCAAACATCACACTGATCGTTACAAAATTCATCGCGATACAAGACAATCGTTTCGATGGGTAGCAAAATGTGCAAAAAGTGAAAACACGGATTTTTCTTTTTTAATATAACTTTTAAAACCTACGTTCGGATCACACACTCACACACACACACACACACACACTCTTTCTCTCTCTATTTTTATCTTTATTATGTTTCTGAAAGGCAGAGTTGGAATCACGCAAGCGCTTTTTCGAAATCCAGAAAAATTTTTCTGAAGCATTTTTCTTTGCACAATTTTATTTTTTTTATTTTTTTTTTTTTTTGGTATTTTATTACTTTTTTCGAACGGTTTATTAAACAATAGTGACTCCTATCTGTTAGAAGTCTCAATCTTTAACATTGAACACGCGAGAGTTTTTTAGGGTAAAAAGGGAAAACTTCTTATGATTTGTAGCAGTAACACTTTTTATAAATACAGGGTCAACTTTTACGAGTATATATTAGTATCACTAAGAATCTGATCAAGAAGTACTCCGAGAAACGTTTCGTTCGTTCGGAATGTCTTATCATTTTCAAATTCTTAGATGTCGAAATAATTCTTGCGTAGATCATACAAAGACACTCGGCTCGTGTGATCCGTTTCGACGAAACAACATCAACAATTTATCGTGCTATCGACCCAATTGCTCTCTACGAGAAACACGAACGTCGAAAAGGAATTAAGGAGAGGTACATTAAAAAAAAAAAAAAAATAAAATCCGTAGAACGGTTTGAATTTATAATTTACTAATAGCGTGATAGAATAATCTTCCAAGAGAGGATAGAAGAATAAGAATAAGAAGAAGAAAAAAAAAAGACTCGTGGTAGGAATGATTGGAAAATCAATTTCAATCAAACTTTCGTTCGATACATAAATAAATAAGCGTCAACAACTATCCACACACAGTTCTACACGTAAAAAGGAAGAAGAAATATAAAGAAGAGAACTCGCCGGATAAAAGGTCATAAATAGCTTTAAAATTATCGACGAAAGAAGCACAAAAAGAACTTCCATTGAAGAAATAGTGTCGCGACACCAACAGTAACGGTAATAAAAAATAATATTAATAATAATAATTTCTAAAACGAGTGAAACTCGCGTTCTCCTCGGGGGTTTCGAGACCAATGACACGAGCAAAAAACAAGATATCTCGTGTGCCTCGAGTAATACATCGCGCAACATATACATATACATATATATATATATATATATTTATATATAAATTTTTCTTCTGCATATGTATATGTATATAATATATATATATTAAAACAATCACTAAAAAATATAAATATATTTATATATTTATATTTGTATATATAACTCTTGCCGTTTGACGGCTAGCTGCCTATGCAGGGCTGGACGGATGCGGCGAAGTAAGTATTTCATTTATACTTCGTTCCTCGAACGGAGGAAACGCCGTGTTAAACCTACAGATGCGACGAATAAGGAGTGTACAGTGGAAAGAGAAAAATGTTAGAAAGATTGAGAGAAAAGAAAAGATAATTGGAAAGGAGAGAGAGAGACGCAGGGGAAAGAAGAGGGATGAAATGGAAAGGAGAGGGAAAAGAAAAAGGTGAAGAGGACGTATCACGTATCCTGCGACTTGCAAGACCCACGACTATAGTTGTTACCGGAACGCGCCATTTCACGATTTCCTTCGCGCTCCCTTCTCTTAAATCTAGCGAACAGACAGAGCGAATATCTCGCTCCTTTGCAATATTATTGCTCGTTCGTATCGCGAGAGGGAGGTTCTTTCAATTCTTTCAATTCGAAAATTCGTAACATTAAATGTGGAAGGAAATTTTTCTTTTTCTTTTTGTCATATTTTGTCGAACTTACGAAACGACGTGTAAATAAGTCTAAACAGTCAGACAAATTAGAAAATAATTCCAACGAAGAAACACGTGGTTAAGTATTGCTCGATTGGCACGTTTCGGCAACAACACGTCAGTTTTTCGCGAATTTAATCCTATTATACTTTTAATTGTACACCAGATCGCTGTGTTAACGATAACTTTCGATCTCTCGAGTTCACGCTTTAAAAAAAAAAAAAGAAAAAAAAAAGAGTTAACAGTAGTTAACAATCGGCGTTAATCTTCTCCCTTTTACGATCACTCTGCAACGTAATACCCATATTGGTATCATTGGCTGTTCCAGCCGTGATATGGAATCCGAATTCGAACGACGATAGTGTCGACGAACGTTGTTCTCTCTCGCTCTCACGCTCTCCAGCTCGATTCGTTTCGCATAACGCTCTCACGAATAGACTCGATTCAGTCTCGCGAAATTAAATCCCTTCATCAAATACCATTATGAACGTATCGCGTGGATATCGATTATGGTTTCGGCCACTTAATTTCCCCACCTCCCCGTTGTTGTGCTCGTCGTTTAGCGACGCGTATAATCTTGATTAAACAATTATACGTCGCTGGGCCATTATACGCGCGTTCGATACGGTTCGATTATCGTTCGATTAAATTCAGCTAACTATTTGCGGCCCAAATGTGTGTATCATCGTATTGGCGTGAAATGATATCTGGTGATCCTTATCGAAAGTTCGGTAGATTTTACTTCATTTTTCTTTGGAAATTTTTCAATGAGATTGTCCTGTTTCGAAATTTCGATTCAAGATATTTGATTAAATTAATTAGACTCTAAAGTAGCGTTTCTAATTGCGTTGTACCTACGATCAAATCAATGAATCAATGAATAATTGCTTCAGACATAAATTCATTTTTCAAACTGGTATAAACTGTTCGTTGTCTACAGGGTTAAATTATTTACCTGCGATTTTAATCAAAAATAAAATATTTTATCAATTAAAATTGTTACTATTCTATTCGGGATGTCTATTTGTCTTTCACCAGGCAATCTGAAACACCAAACTGAAATCCAATTTCCTGGGCCTGAACTTCAAAGATTTCGCCGTACGAAAATGAAGAAACGAAGCGACAGAGCTTGTCTAGTCTCTCCAACACTCTAAGAAATCTTTTCGCGGCAATCGACACGGTTCGAAAAACAAGCTGAATTTCCGCAAAGGGAAACAAGCTTAATTTCTTCTGGTTCACGGCTGGAAATTTAAATCGTTGAAAACTTAATCTCACAAACTGATTGATCCTCGTCCGGTCGAGCGCTCGAAATTTATCAATCTCGAATAAAACGAGACGCGAAAAGAGAAAGTAAAGTATCTTCGCAACGCAAGAAAGAACGAAAAAGAAAAAAAAAAAAAAATGAACGTAAGGATGTAACGTTTACGATGTCACGACGTAATTTTACGAGGAGAGGGGGTTGAAGATTGTAAAGTTTCGCGTGGCCATCGTCTCGAAATCAGTATTGTCACGTCAGGCATAAATAGGGATCTAGCTATGTTAGACGCCTCGAGCTGAAGGTTACAACGTTCTCCAAGACGTCACATCATTCCGTTGGAAATTGTAGTCGGGGCAATTTCCCTCGGCGAGTGCCTCGATCACTTTCAACAGGGTTTATTTCCTACGTACTCTCACGCGTCGTCCTTTCATCACGCGATGAAACGTTATCTGGGCCTTTCAGTCTGGGACTTTATAATCCAACTGTCAGAGTTCTTTTGATCCTTCTCTACGGCGAATCCTCCGCCGGAAGTTCTCGAGTAATTGGGAACCAACCGGCCGATTATCGGGGACTTCCGCGATTAAAAGGTACCGCCAACTTCGCGCTTGTTCTTCTTTATTCGAATGGAAATACTTGTCGATCCTTTGTAATTTCACGTACGAGGATTGGGTGTCTCTGAACGGTTATCTAAACATTATTTCTTAGTAATCCCTCGAATATTATTTCAATTTTCGTTTCTATATGAGTTTTGTTTTGTTGTTATTATGGTATGATTATTTTATTTACATGGAATTCAAACGTGAAACAAAATGCGCGTCAGAGGGACATTTGAAAAACGAATTTAAATTCTACTTTTATCTTTTTAAAAATTATCCAAGTTACTCTCTCTTCTACGAACGACGAAATTAAGTAGAATTTATTTCAGTGTGCAAAATTAAACTTACTCTAACGTGATTTGACATGTGAAATAATTTTGTGTCCAGGTCTTTATTTTTAAACGCTCTGTATCGAAATAACGTCCCATATTCCCTTAAAATTCTACAGTCTAGTTGCTCGGTCATTTTCACGTCAGTCTGAAAGACCCAGTACAACAACGAAAACCTCTTCGACAGCTTTCTCACAAATAACCGAAGAAAGAAAGAAATTCGTGAAAAATATTCGTTTCCACTCTTGTGACAAAGAAGGAAACTTCGTCGAACTATGTCGCCCGTTCCGACCGAACTTTCAGTTTCATTTCGGGATGCTTCCTCGAAACAGAGTCGGCCACGAGTCGACCACTGACGTACAAGAACAAAAATCCATCGAGATTCTCATCGTTGCGGATGATTTGAAGTATTTAAACCTCGGTGGAGTGCGTTTGAATTCGCACTTTCTTCTGGGAGCCGTTCCTCGACAGCGTCGGGCTGTGCGCCGAGAAGCCGGGATTGTGAATACCGAGTGGTTTTGGCTTTTTCAACGAGCTTCGTAATGGCGAAGCCGTGCTGGTGACACTTCCGGAAGTTGCGACCGACGCCATCGAGCCGTTCCCAGCTCCGCCAACGTAAGGCTTGCCGCTAGCGTCGGTCATCGATATGGTGCCACCTGAAATTAAAAAGAAAGACGGATATTTCTGTTTTATTTGCAATACTGATAATAATTTAAATAATTATTGTACATAATATTTAATGATACTTATTATAACACAGTAATGATACTGTATATAATGATACTTTAATGATAATTATTGTAAATGACATTACATTTAATATATAATAATATTCTAAATATATATATTTAAATTTTTATAATATTATATACATTAATTAATAATTCAATATTATATATATTATATAATATTTTAAACTATATACATTATATAAATGTGTATAAATATTATATTATTATTAAATATTATATTTAATAGATATAATATTTAATGATACTTTAATGATAATTATTGTAAATAACATTACATTTAATATATAATAATATTCTAAATATATATATTTAAATTTTTATAATATTATATACATTAATTAATAATTCAATATTATATATATTATATAATATTTTAAACTATATACATTATATAAATGTGTATAAATATTATATTATTATTAAATATAATATTTAATGATACTTTAATGATAATTATTGTAAATAACATTTATTGATATTTAGAATATTGATAGTATTTTGATAATTACTGTACGTAACATTTAATGATACGTAAATTAAGCTAGCTATGATAAATGAAGATTAAACAATATTGATGCATAGGTTTTGTTTAATTCACGACTGTTGCTAATGAAACAAAAAATATCGCCAGCTTATGGATAATTATTGAATCGCGTAGAAACATTAAAGTATGAAAGTTTTTTACTATATTGTTATAGATATTTATATCAAATTCGCATGATTGGTCTATAAATTTTGGAAAAGAAAAATCCGAAGTAAAGAGTGAAAGAGATCAAAAATGAGGACTATAAAACAAACAACAACGATGATACATTTTTTCATAGTCTTTCGTCCAATGATCGACAGATTTTTTAATTATTCGAGATTAAATTCTACAGTTTAACTTTGATTAAGAGAGGAAGCGAGACTGACAAATGAAAATTAACAATTGTCGATAAATCATTCACATTATCATTTACACAATAAATTTTCATTCAACTGTTCATACATAAGTGTAATGATTTTCCTACCGTATATTCGATAATTAAAAAATTTCTAAGATTTCTGATAATTACAGGATTCTTTGGTTTCCTTCGTAAACGAATCGTAGTCAGTAAGGACGTTTACTATCATTCGTAAGAGTAATTGCTTATTACACTATAATTTCCAATTACAGAACAATGTAATTACAGAATAAAGGAGCCAGAACATCGCGCAACAGTGATTACTTCTGGAATTTCTAATTAACTAAGAACCTCGAGGATTATTTTTCAAGCACGACGCGAATACAGATATTCTTACACTTCATGTAAAATTCACTATGATACAACTTTCTTTCAATAACGAGCTTCTCAGCCGTTGGATTCACAAGATTTTCGAATTGTTCTTGAAAATAAAAAAAAAATAGATACGTTTATATTTATATATAATATAATAATTGAAAAAAGTTGCTTTTTAAAGTTTTTGATCGATCGAAAGTTTACAAGATCTTTGAATTATTTTCAAGAACGAAGAGAAACGTTTTACAGATTGAAATCTACGAATGATCATAGTTTTAATTTTGATGAACACGCGTGTCACGTTGCTTGTACGCGTCAGTAATAATTTAAGCACACCTGCACCCTTGCCACGTGGAAATTCATCGAAACGTTTTGATTCACAACGACGATGCGACCGAACACACAGTTGAATTGTCAATCTATGCGTCATCCGAAGTTATTCGTCATTTTTTCGTTCATCGTCAAAGAGTCCCTAAATTCGACGAAGGAGTTTTACGGAGTTTCCAATTTTTTTTTTTTTTGGATATTAAAAGTCACATCGTTCGTTGAGATAAGAATGAAATTCAAATGCACAGAGCTCAAGAACAATATAATTAGTTTGATTCGTAAAATCTTTTTATAAAGAAGAAAAAAAAAAAAGATTCCTAAGATCTCCACCTTTTATTTTGTACGAAGGACTCGTTTATTTTACACACTGCCAAATTGTTTTCTCGTTTCTTCAAACAGCACGAGCTATCGATCTAAAATTGCTCAAAATTTCTCTAGGAACGATTCTCGTTTCGTTCAATAATCTCCATTTGCTTTCGCACAATTCCATTCACTTTACTTCGCCAAAAAGTAATATCCATCAGCCTCCAACTTGGGACACGAGCAAACGTGTTTCCTCCTTTCATTTGGCTCTTCCTAATGTCTGTTTATCTGTCCCCCTTCGACAATTGTTTCACTTTCTTTCAACAAAAGCCCGATATCGTCCACAATTTAATCCCCCTTCTCTCGTCGCAAGTTTCGCTAGTTTCGTTCCTTTTTCTTTGAAAGTTTCGCGTTGGATCCAACCCCTCCTCGTTACTCTTTATTTCCCTCGGTCTTCCACGCGCGATCTTCTACGTTCGATCTCCCTTCTTCACGTTTCACATCTGAACGTTATTTCTCGGGCATATTGGGTTTCCATCAGCTGCTAGGCGAAAGTCCTTCGAGCCACGCGGTAACATTCTCTCCCAAATGGGAGAACTTAGAAGGGTATCTCGATTCGATTTTAGTGGGTTCGCGCGGCCTCTAAGGAGAGAATGTTTAACATTCAATCCTGAACGAGAAACTCTCCGTAACCTTCTATAACATCGTGTATTAACTTGGAAGTTGATATGTCCACGTACGTGTAATTTTGTATTGTGTACTTGTCATAGGTTTGCTATTTTATTGTTATGCTGTTAGATTATCGAGATTGTTATGTTATTAGAAAGATATCGACTTACTTATGATAATTATTAGTTTCCAGCAAGCGGAATTCGAAGTAAACAGCTATAATTGATTGGTGATCTTTCCCTTCTATGAAATAAGTTACGTGTCATATTGTTATTGCTACTTTTTTTCTTATAATAATGAATTCTCATTGTACAGGCTAGTTTCTAAAATAGGAAAATTCCAGGATAAGAATACTCACAGGAAAAATTAGGCATAAAATTCTTCTAGATTTACTTTGTTGAAGTTTGAATGAATTTTTGTAAACTATATAAATAGTAACGTATATAAATAGTAACTATATATAAATAATACGTATATAAATAATAACGTATATAAGCATTTTTTAATTATATTATGACTTTTCGTTGTACTTTCATCTCGTTTGTTTCATACCGGTTCTGATATCAATTGTTGCTAGTCACAACACTTCAATTTAAAATCCAAGAGCTAAAAATATGTCATTGACGCGTGCGTATTTAAGAATTTATCCTGGAAGGATTAAAATGTAAGTCGCCTTTTTTATAAAATTCTATTTTACAGTAAATGTTTAGAAAATGATGTATAGAAAGTAAATGTTTAGAAACTGCTGCTTCGTCATGTTATCGCGTAACCTTGAACATAACCCGTTTAAAATTGTGCATCGAAGCGAAGCCTCTATTAGTTGCTAAATGGATATGTCTCCTCGTTAACCACATAAATGACATTCCGATGAGGGAAAAGGCTTTCATTCCACGCTGCAAACTGGCAGCTTTCTCTTTGTTCCGTGAACGTGCAGCGTAAGTAAGATGTAAAATTTATATAATATTATTAGAAAAATAAGCGTAAAATTTATATAATATTGTTATAAAAGTAAGCGTAAAATTTATATAATATTATTAGAAAAATGAGCGTAAAATTTATATACACGTAAAATTTATATAATATTATAAAAATAAGCGTAAAATTTATATAATATTATTAAAAAAATGAGCGTAAAATTTATATAATATTATTATAAAAGTAAGCGTAAAATTTATTTAATATTATTATAAAAAATAAGCAAGACAACAAGTACAATTGATCAAATGCTTAAAAAATCAAATTCTTAGCATATTATTTATGTATTTTATCATTACACTATTTAACTTATTGCAGTTTCATATTTTTTTAAAGAAATTTATTTCATCCGTGTGTATGTTGTGCGTCCACTCTCCGAGAGTTAATATAACAGAATCATACCAATATCTTGCACGCCATTATTAATTGCGTAAAATAGAGTTTCCTACCACAAATTTTTCATTGACGACAGTTTTATATTCGAAACAGAGTTAAAACAAGAAACAATTGTTAAATTAAACGTGTCTAGCAAACTTACCGTTTGTGGGTTGGTGTTCCCGGTAGCCGGGATTATTTATGGTAGCTGCACTGACAACCCTAATCTTTGTCGGATCACCGCCTCGTCGAGCATAAATACCCTCGTATACCGCGGTGACCAGCACGCCAAAGTTCAAAGCGATCGCAGCCAACTGCAACAACAAATTCCAAATTCTTTGCTCAATATGAATATTTCGAACTAACTGTGTACCTGCGTGTTTAAACAGTTTATCAGATAAATTATTCTACCATTTGAAATATAGGTTTACGGCGAAACGACTAACATTTGATGTAGGAAAAGAGGGAGCAACGTGGATAAGCTGAGGGATAGTCGGTCTATAATTTTATGATTAATTGACGTTCTGACAAAAGATATCATACGTAGCGAAATTTGAACTGAATGAAAGAACTATAATTTGTTTAAATATTATATTTCTCGTATTTGGTATTTTAAATACCACGTTCAACAGTCCACATTCCACGTCTTATATTATACTTTATCATCCCTCATTCTACATTCACACGTTCCATATCTCACATTTTATATCTCGTGTCCCATATTCTATATTTTATATCCCATACACTGTATCTTATATTTCAGGTCTAATATCTCACGTCTCATAGTCCGTATCCTACATTCCTCATCCCATGTCCCATTATTCTTACGCGATACTTTACATCTCACATCCGATATCTCGTGTTTTACATTTCATATCTCGTCCTGTATTCCACATTCTACACATTACTGAATTAGATCCCACACTCCATATTCTACATTCCACACACTATATCTCACATTTCTTACCTCACATTCCATATCTTATATCCCACACGCTATATCTCGTATAATATATTTCAGATTCTATATATCATATCCCACATTCTACATGCGTATCCCATAGCCCATAATTCCGCATTCTATGTCGCATATTTCCCACATCTTACATTCCACTGGTCCTACACATGGGGTTTAAAAACGATTATGATATCGATCATGAAGGATCGATATTCTTAATAACTGTTATAGAAAACCGAAATTTTCTATTAATCGATTACGGTTCTTCAAATATCGGATATGGATTCACATATCGGTCTTAGAATCGTCATTTTTCCAGCTCCATTTTAACTTGTTCAACTTAAAATATGTTTAAATGAATTAAAAAAAGTATATCTCACAAGTAGAACGAGTTCTTATCTGCTCAGATATCCGCAAGTAGAAGGAGACTATATATGGCCAGACCTACTATCCCTACGAAATAAATTTTTCCCAAAGTTAATATGCGAGCTAGTCTGAATTTTCTTACCAATATAAAATGAATTTTGTCCCATAAAATGAATTGGCCCACAAATTTCCCACAAAAATAATTTTCGGGCTAATATGAAACCTTTTTCTCCCGCAAAATGAATTTCGTAGCCCGTAAATTCAGAAAATTATATTTAACTATAAAAATTATAAAAATTATACTTAATTATATTTAATAATATATATATATTTAATTATATTTAATTATATATATATATTTAATTATATTTAATTATGTATATATTTAATTATATTTAATTATGTATATATTTAATTACATTTAATTATATATATATTTAATTATATTTAATTATATATATTTAATTATATTTAATTATATTTAATTATATATATATTTAATTATATTTAATTATATTTAATTATATATATATATATTTAATTATATTTAATTATATATATATATTTAATTATATTTAATTATATATATTTAATTATATTTAATTAATTTAATTATATTTAATTATATTTAATTATAAAAATTATAAAAATTATATTTAATTATAAATTATATTACGGGGACACATTCCCGTATTTCTACTATTTGCAGCCTTTGTATCTTTGCAACGGCAAATTTCCTAGAAACGCATAATCACATAATATCGCATTGTATCACATTATATTTAGATATATTAATTATATATTATATGTATAATAATTGTTATAATAATTATTATCTAGATATATTAATTATATTCCATTATATCTAGATATATTAATTATTCGGCGAACCACGAACGAGCGCACGTTGTATCTTCCCATTGTTCTGAAACTCGTGAGCTTCCACCTCGTTGGTCTTTACAAGAAACGCTTGCTTCCAGCTCGTTTTCACAGAGACTAATCGATGTCGTTGCCTCTCTCTTGCGAGATATGCACGATCGTAAGAGAAAGAGGGTGGTAAAGGATGGGAACGCCGGAAAGAACATGGAAAAGTTCAATGGAGACGAGGAATTTAATTAAGACGTAACAAAAGACGTTGGGAAGCCATTGTTCCGCCGCAATAATTAATTCACCGTTGTTCCTTTTTCTCTCTCTCTTTCTCTCCCTCATCCATCGTGCCTTTCCATCAGCTCTACGCTCGAGAGAAAAAGAAAAAGAAACGGCGAAAAAATCAAATATAACGGTCTGGCGATAATTTGATTAGCAACACGATTTTCCTCGATTTTTCTCGGTTCTTTTTATCATCCCACGCGTAACATTACTATTATATACCGTTTTTGATTGAGATTCGGTTAAATCTTGCATGAGATTATTTTTAATATTTCTAATTTTGACATTCTACGATTGGCGCTGTCATTAGTGTAGACTTTTGAACAATTTTAATATCTTTGTGTGAAAGTCTTTACTCGACGTCATGTATATTCTTGTAATTTATGGTAGAACAAAGCCACGGTATTAAGGAATGCTTGTTAGACTTTGCATGTATTCTATAGAATATTTTAATATTCAACGTTAGAGATCGATCTTTAGTTGCGCCCTGATTAACACAGATTTCTACAAAATTTTAATCCCCTTGAAACTCGAGAAACAATTTATCGTAATATTTACAAATATTTTAAAGCTCATGAAATTTCAAAATCGAAATAGAAGGAATAATGATACCAAAAAAATATTAAACGGATTATTGAGAAACAAAATTTAACAGATTAATCGAGAAAATTTTTTGTGCGAGGTTCTATGAGATAAAGTTCAAAGGAAAATATTCTTTGTCGTTTGATGAAGAAAAGAGAAAAATTCGCGAGTAAAAATATTTATTCTGTGAGTGTCCAAGAAAATTATTCAACTCGAAAAGATGGTAACATTAGTAGATTGAACGTCTGAAATGCTTTGGAGCAAGAAAAGGAAAAGTAATCAGAGAAAACAAGACTCTGTCTCTTTACATTCAAATTTTATTCACCACCAATGAGCTACTTTACAATCTCTCGTTCTTTTTTGTTAAGTCGATGCTGAAGGACAGCATTGATGCCGTTGTTATTGGCGCCAAGGAGAAAAGTAGACTGAGAAAATTTTATGTCTTTTCTCTTCAAAGTTGTTCTACGAGACATTTAAATGCTAATTTCTTTTCAACGATGTCCTCTGAATTTATTCTCTTCCCTTAGATAAAGAAACGTAAAATATTCCTGTTAGACAATTTTGCTGAATATTTAATATTTGTTTAGACAATTTTAATAATAAAGAAATGCTTCGATTAATATTAATTTAAAGCCTCAATTGATATCAGGAAGAAAAAGAATGATTATAATATATTTATATCTAGAAAAGATTAAGAAAACAAAATCTGATATTGTTGAATGTCAGAAATTATTATTACAAAAAGAAGTGAGAAATAAATTTTAACTCGAATCTCTTCATTCACCAAGAATTTGCTCCATTAGCAGACTATTATTTATTCTTGACCTCAGAGAACGTTTTCTTGACAGGGGACTTGATAATCGAGAAGTTTGTAAAAAATATTTGAAAGAAATTCATTTACCAAAACAATTAAATTTTTATAAAAACGAGTCGCGAAATGATGAAACGATTTTTGAATTTCAAACGAGAGTCAATTTTTTGCTTAAACGAGTGAATTCCTGGTTACAATTTTCCATATGTATTTTTTTCACTTTCTTTCAATTGTTTACTGATCACGATAATTTCTCAAGCATTTTGACGTGGTAATGTAATACACAAAAATATATATACAAAATACATTTACAATATTTATATATGTATGCAATTATTACTAATATATATACATATATACTTTATTATTAATATATATATATATACTTATTATTATTAATATATATTAATAATAATTGTATATTATATATAATTATATATATATATATAAATATTGTAAATATATTTTGTACATATATTTTTGTGTATTATTATTAATTATTATTAATATATATTAATAATATAATTAATATATATTAATAATATAATTATAATAATATATTAATAATATATATTAATAATATTTTTGTGTATTATTATTAATTATTATTAATATATATTAATAATAATACACAAAAATATATTTACAATATTTAAATATATATATGTATACAATTATTATTAGTATATATATATATATATAAATATTGTAAATATATTTTTGTGTATTATTATTAATTATTATGAATATATATATATATATATATATATATATATATATATACACAATATAATTTAAATATATATACAAACTCCTTGAAGTATCCTCGATCATTTTCATAAAAGCAATAAAACTTTCATCAAAATCCACAGATCACGAAAATTCCTCAAATATTATACTTTAGAACTCCTTTTCCTCTTTTCGCGCCAGAAACTTGATTCCTATCCTACATCAGCTTCACGACAGGGCGGCAAACTTATGCCTCTTATATAACTCAGGAAAAGAAAAGTGCAAGGGGAAGGCCGCTTGATCTCGAAGTATACAGTCCCGACGATCGTCGAATACTAAACGCACTCCTCGGCGAACGCGAAATCCCCGCGGCTTAACTTTACATCGTTATAAATCGCGGACGGACGTTACCTTGCCCTGTTTTTGTTTGTTCATCTTATCCAGCTCGATCTCGTCCTTGGCCTCCCTCAGAAGGCTCCGTCTCTTCTTTTCCATCATCTTGGATTAAGCGCCACAGTATACTCGTGTGGCAATTGTCACGTAACACGGATAAAAGGGTATCTCACATAAAATCTCCATACGTTTCACCTACCACTTGATGTTCACGAATACGTACGTTTCATTTTCTTCAACAGTCCTCAACAGTAATGTTAACAATGTCCTCGACTTTCACTTCCAAAAGTAAAAATTTTGTTATAAATTTGCTTTCTTTTAAAATT